TATCTTTAAACTGAATGAATAATAAAATTGCTAAGATACAACATAAATTTCCATGGGCAGTAATCAGTTACCTAATACATAAAATATGTATGCAAATAAATGCCATATTTGTTAAAACATTATTATTGCTAAACTATTTATACCCTACTCTATCAGAGCACTTTACATATGGTTGCCAGGTGATTTCTGATCCAGGCAGCTTTACTTTCATTTCTTCAGCAGTAGAACTGTTGAGTGCATTCAGACAATTTTTGAGCATTATTGTTCCATATTTTGCTAATTAAGAACATAGTTTAATGTAGTATAGCTGACGACTTTGAAAAGCAGATGTGTTTTGGGAAACTCTCAAACTAGAGTGAAAATTAAAGGTGGGTATGGAAGTGGAAAGCTACACACATTCCAGAATATAAGGACAACCACTTTTGTGCAATGCCTAAACAATAACTTAGCATTTAAAGAGAAGTAGACTTGTGCATGCTATTTAATTTCTTAAAGATGGGTGACATATCTCTGACCACTATTTTAGATACACCTCTGCACATAATTTATGAGACCTTGTTAAAACTGGATGCTAGCTTAAACATTCAGACTTCACTGAATTACAAACGATTGCATTGCCTTGAGTATCTTGAGGTCTAAAACTATGAAAAATATTCCTATAAATGCAGTTTAGTCCAAAGTTCACAAAGAATGAAAGGAGAATTTCCCCAGAATTCTGTAGGTTCTGATATATTTGTTAATATCCCTTTTTAAAACCTTGTCACTTGCTGTACCTGTTATATGATACTTATTGAAATTCAGACCCCTGGTATTTAGAAATTTCTGAGTGATAGCTAATTAAGCCATATTTGGAGTAGACCCATTGAAATCAAGGTGCTTAAGTTACATAATTCCATTGATTTCAGTTGTTCTACTCTGAGTATGACTAATATTGGATATCATCCGCTGGTTGCCAGAATACGTTTCTTGTATTATAATATGTTCCTACATTATGTTCCCAAAATCCATTAAGTGCTTAGTACACTTTTCATCATCATATAAACATGAAATTTAAGTAGTAGTTTGCTTAAAGGATTTTGTCCCTGAGCCGAACATTGAAATGTGTGTTAATATAATTTTATTTCTCAATGGGGGAGAGGGAGGAGGGTGGACAAATTAACCCACTACCCAGTGGGGTATATTGGAAACTGAATGAGAATTCTTCAAGGCTATCATATCATGAAAGTTTGGCTACATGGAGAATGGGGTTCAGAACAGTCAGAAGGAGTGTGTGAGACATGGCCTTTGCATCTAATAATAGCTGAGCCTTAAAATGTTTGTCTTGAGGTTAAGGAAGAAGAACATCACTTTGGTAGTTGGCTAAACTTGGCATTTGGGAGGCTGTGAAAAGTGTACTATGTAATCAGTAACCTTTGCCGCCTTACAATGGAGTTTTTGTATATTTTTAGCATGGCTAATCGGTTTTGACTGGGTTGGAAGTTGACCTGCTCTTCCTGCTGCTTATGTCCCACTTGAAGTCCTAATCTTCCTTTGGGATGTTTGTGACATAACACTTACTTGCTGTGGAGAGGAAGGTGCCTATCATGTAAAACAAGTTTAGGATTTCAAATGACAATTCCAGATAAATAGATGAATTTCTAAGCAGAAAGCTGATTTTAATGTATCTCTTAAAATGTATCCACATGTTTGTTTCACGTTACATATATACATATATGTTGTCCTAAGCATTATGATACCCTGTTAGAAGTGGCCACATTATTTTATTTATTTAAATGCATTTATAAATGTCTATTTTTTTAAAAAAAATCTCTGTGTGGTATACAATATTTCCGTGTAAAATTATATTAAAAAGTAAAATTACCATTTTTGTGTGCTTAGAAGATTACTGCAATTGTAACTTGCACCAGAAAGATAACACTGCTTTTATTTTCTGCTTGAGACTTGCCTAAAAAAATTCCAGACATCTGAGAAAGTAATATAACTGGAGAGTTGTAACACTTTTTTTGCAAAAAGAAAAATATTTTCTGCAGGGCTTGAAGAAAAGAATAGCTTTAAATTGATAATCTGTAATAAACTACATGTACACCACCTTTGGTTCTATGATGGAAGAAAGTCAGGATATAAAAGTAACAAAGGAAAAAAATGGAAAACAGTATTAGTAATTGCTGCACCCATTACTTAGTGGCATAGAGGTGGTTGGGTGCAAGACTGGAAAAGTGGTTTTAATTCCTAGGGCCAGCATCACATTTTGGGGTTGCCTTTGTCATGGTTTTAAATGCCAGACTTAAATTTGTAGGGTCTTGGCTACCAGGTGCTTGGGAGTCTTCCAACATTGGCAAGATCCTGCCAACAGCTGATCTCTCTATCTAGTATGTCTGTGAGTAATTGGAATAGTTTGGAACACATTTTAAATACCTTTGAAGTCTACCATGTTTAAAGGACAACCAAGTAGCTACAAGTGCAGAGGATAACTCTTTCCAGATATACACTCTGGAGTGAAATATATTCTTAAATGCCCATCCCATCCCCATAGGATGCCTGACAACTATAGCTCAATTCAGGACACCTTTGGGATGGAAAAGGAAGACAGATGTTGGTTAATAGGGCAGAAATAATTTTATTTCCTCATAAACTAATGTCTGGCTTTTCAGTATTTAGCAATTGTTAGAAACTAACTCATAAATAGTACATTGGACACACCATAGTGTATTTTTAAAAATTAAAAATACATATTTGATATATTTGTAGCAGGGCTCGAAATTAGCAGGGTGCATTTTGCACCTAAAGATTCTCAATTTGCAAGCACCTCAAAAAGTCTGAGTGCCATTTTTTTACGCCTGGTTGTCACTCAAGGATTACTGAAATGTATGTGCTTTGAAGCCTCAAAGGATAGACAATATGTTAAGGAGTTTAACAATAAAGAGTAGAGTGTTTTGAAAACTGAAGTACAGCACCAATACTTTTATTGTAAACAGCAAATTAAACATGTACTAACAGTTTCTGCTAAAAAATGGCGACTAGACATTCTGTTTTGGCGCCCACAACCTAGGTCCCAGAAGCCATTTGGCTCCTAGCTATTCTATCCCTGTTTCTAACACTGCTTTGTAGCAAATATGTTGACATATCTGATATATTAGCACCTCCCTCCTTCGATTAGTCATTTACACACATTGACAGCCTTGGGATGGGGAAACCTAACAAGCCACCAACCCAGTGGTTCAAGTTGATATTCAGTGTCACCAGCCCATCCTGTGGGCATCTGCAGGCATCCTTGCTTTAGGCTTTCAGGTGTCTCTTGAAGACTTTCTTACACTGACAGGCCTATGCAGTATTTGATCTGTACTTTTTTAATGTTTTATAATTTTTTTAATATTGCTGTTAGATTATGAGAAGGTGGTACAGAAATACTTTTAAAAGTAAAATAAATTTTACAGAAAAGAGAAACCAATAATTTGCAAAATGAGAGGAAAAAAGAAAAGAAAATACTGAAACCCAAAAATATAAATTCTTAAGAGAAGGTAAAGCAGTTGCAACGACTGAGGAATTGGTGGCAGCTGCTTGTGACTAAATGTTCAAAGAAACATCAGTGATACAGTGTCATTTAATCAAAGAGATTGTTGGCCATGTATACCCTGCATTTAAAAATGGTGCTAAAGTAACCTAAATGCACATAGGCTTCAGGAAGTAGAAGTTTGCAAACAAGTTCATGCAGACTAAGCACATTTGCATTTTTAATTTTACACGTTTTTTTCAGTAACACAGAGGACAGTCCACTGTGCAGGTCAATGAACCCTTGCAAGCTGAAGACTGCAGGACATTTGAAGTTCTGGCCACTGGAAATCTTTCTCCTTTCTCAACAGCTCCTCTGGCTACTTTCATTAGCAATGCCTGCTCATTTTTGAGCCTAGCATATAACTCTTATGGGCTAGAAACTTTCTTTTTAAATTTACAGTGTATATATATATCTTAAATTCACAGTGTGTTGGCTATGTTCCTTCATATGCTTGGTGCAGTTTTATGTGTATATTTTTAGGAGCTAGATAATGTTTTGTGTGCAATTTAACTTTTTTGTTTCTGAATAATTGCAGCTGATTCTTCTCCTATGAGATCCGCTGTGGCAAGTTGATGCATATTTTAGTTACTTCTGGGAGTACTTATCCTATGCTAGGACAACTATATTATTAGTAGTAATCCCTATTGGTGGTTGATTTTATAGTCTTAAAGTCTGCATAGATGGATGGCACCATAATTCATAGTTTGTATGCTATAAATCACCTGATTTGCTCTCAAAATCTAGGAAGGCTGACAATGAACTTTAAGCAACAGTAAAAGAGTTCCCTCTGCCATTCCACGCTTTGAAACTGTGAGAGGGAAAAGCACTTACAGCCTATAATGTATTGTTTGAGCACGCAGTGACAATGCCGTACGCTCACAAATAGAAGCTGTGATTTTTAATAGACTTGCATGTTTTCAGCTTTCGCGATAAAGGCAGAGAAGTAATTAAGCACCTGGAGGCTTGCCAGGTTCTATATAAGGTTTGTCCCCAGTATTGTAGTTAGTGCTGGTATGCCAAGTGTGTGTAGCACTGCTGTTTAGAGAAGGAAAGAAGAGGATGGAAACATGAAGGAGGCAGGAATGTATTTGCATGCAGCCAATCGTCAATATGCGGCTGTTCTTTTGGCTGACTTTCAAAAACCAGAAGAAAAGCAGCCACCGTGCTAATTGTGGCTAGGTCTCGAAGTGAAAATGTTTTGTGACAGTTGAAAGAATTTAAAGAGGAAGGAAGATCGGTTTAGTGTCAGCTGCAATTAGATAATCAAAGCTTTAAAATCCTCATCTGTTGATACCTTACCCAGAGTTAAGGGGGCTGTGTGCTGTTGGAGGTGGGGGTAGGAGTCTCCCTGTGTGGAAAGGGCATTTCCAAAGCCAGCACAGCTAGGGCCTGAGCAAGCTTGCAGGTTGTCTGGGCGCACACTTGCACTGAGCGATTTTCTTGGCAGCTCTACAGGATGAGGCTCACTCTGTACACAGCCGACATATTGAAGCCGAGAGCCCAGGCGAACCTAGATGCAGGAGGGGAGACAGCTCTGCACACAATGTAGCGTCTCCTAGGATGGTTGGGCAGCACCTTTTCTCAGGTATTTCATTACTCGTTGGCCCCTATAGAGCAGCAAGGGGGGGAAGGGGGCAAATGGCATCTGCTTCTGCTAAATCAGTTTATTACATAATGTTTCAGAGACAGCAGCAGCAGCACAGCGTCCTAAGCTTTTGGCTGCCTTTCAGGTTTGATAAAATGGCGTCCTCAGAGAAAGAGCTGCTTGCTAAAGATATGCTGCGCTGGGCAAAAAAATGAAGTTGTTATTTGTCATTATCTACTGCTGTTTGGTTTTGGAGTGTTAGTGTTTCATGGAGTACTCACTATCTAATAATGAAGAATGCTCTTTTTTACGCTGCTCAGCTCTTTTTCTGAACGCATTAGAGGTTCCCACATCAGACGGAACATACTTTGTAGCATACCGTAGTGAAGAAAATTAAAAGAGTAATAGGCTTTTCCACATGCGTTGCCTAATTTTGGATTTTGTCTCTAAATAAAGCTGTTTTATTTAGCGTTCTCATCTCTTAACCCTTCCACATTTGCATATGCCTTTCTGGGAGAGTCTTGACAGCTTCAGCATTTATGGAGTCAGTGTTGTTGTGAAAGCAAACTTGCAGGACAGATTCCCACTTAAATGTTTGTGCTTTTTGAATTCCTGATTGCATAAACAAGTATTTCAGCTACTAGAATGAAAGAAACAAATAGAAAGAAGCTGACTTCTTGGATGCTTTCAAATTTGTACTAGTTTTGAGATTAGTTCTGACCTCAGATCTAAGTGCTGATCAAATCAGTCAATGTCTGTTCATGTTGGTAAACATACAAGCTTAACCATTTCCCATTGAATTTGAATGGAGTTTTTTTGTTCCAGGATGCACAGTTATAGTGAAGGTCCATGTTTTTCTTCATAAGGTTACATTTTCACTCTGATTTCGAGATTGCTTTCTGATATGTTTTGATCATTTAAAATACTGATTATGGTATCAGATCTTGGAGTTACATTAAAATGTTCATTGAGGTCATGGTATTGATTACTTTTTATTTCAGACAGGGAAGTTATTGTTGCCCCAATTTAGAATTGTGGAATTTTGTCACATCAATCTTAAAAAACTAAAATTGTCGAAACCTACAGCATTAATAGTTTAGGGGCTGACTTATATCTGGACGAGGCACAGTGTAACAGCTGTTTGAGAAGATCCAGCTTATTTGTAGAGGGAGATTGGCCTGTCAATCAAGTATCATTTTAAAGTCCCAAATCATATATGACAAGTACAGAACATTCAATTTATATTTAATAGCTATCAGTGCTATAGTACAAAATGTAAGTGATCTTCATTATTAACTACCGTCATAGTTACCTTTTTTTTTTAAAGCACCCATATTTTTGATTGTTCATATATATGAAATGAATGAAAGGCCTCAATCCTGCAGCTATTTACAAGCAGTTCTCTCTATTATACCTTGTGATTTCTAATCTATGACCTTGGTCTAAGAGCGTAGGCCTGTTCTTTGCTGTGAAGTGGACTAGTGTGTTGGCTCCTGTTTGAAGAGACCCAGTCCTGTGCACCAGCACTATGTGTGGCTCCACCTTCTGTGCTAGAGTGATAGTATGTATGCCAACGAGTACCAGACATGTCATCAAAGTCTTAGTTTACAGTGATAATACTTTCTAAAGTATTTCTTTGATTTCATTTCATGCAGTGAAAACATACAACTGAAAGTGATAGCAACTCATATGTTTGAGAAGTATTTTAATATTGAAAATCAGTCCTCACAGTGAAGTTTTTATCTCTGTTTCTAAATTTAACAAGGCATGAATAACTGTTCGTTGACCACAGAATACGCTTGATTGGTTTTGTAGATTTTTTCTTTCATTTCTAGTTCCCATTTAATAGTTCAGCTTAAAATGTATGTGGCATATAGGAAAATATTGGAAATTGCATGCCCCAAAGTATTGCTTATTATATCTGACCCTATTAGTGCAACCTAATAAAAGAGAAATAGTACTATTGTCTGCATGTAAATCCTTTGTGTATTAGCACTGAACATACTTGTTTTTTCAGAACCTAGAATTCAAAATGCATTATTATGCTTATTGAAGAATTTGTTTGGATTTACAAGCCATGCTTCTCCAAGGGCTTAGTGAAAGTTGGGAACCCCTACCCATAAGCTAGACTATAAAGGAGGGAGGAAGAGTCTTAAAGAACGTAAACATAACAATCAAGCCAGAGTTCAACTGATGTATCTGGGTCATTGGATAGCAGACTAATTTACATCATGTTTAATTTTTCAGACCTTGGTCACAGCGGATTGGGAGACCATTATGAGAATACTCACTGGGGACAGCAGCCCACTTTCCGAAGTGAAGCCAATTGCAGCTGGGATAAAGTGATAATAGACAGGACTGACAAGGAAGCGTGGCCTTCCATTACAGGAACTGAGACTGAATCTGCCTCAGAATGTACTACAGACACTGACTCTGCCTCCAACTGTGGCTCAGAGAACAGTAGCATGGCTACAGGGAGTGCCCAAGGCAACTTCACTGGACATACAAAGAAACCCAATGGCAATAATGGCACCAATGGAGCACTCATCCAAAGCACTTCTAACCAGAGTGCCCTTGGAGCTGGTGGAGCAAATGGTAATGGAAATTCAGCCAGAGTGTGGGGTGTTGCCACAGGTTCCAACTCTGGCTTAGCTCATTGCTCTGCCAGTGGTGGGGATGGAAAGATGGACAACATGATTGGAGATGGTAGAAGTCAAAATTGCTGGGGTGCTTCCAACTCAAATGCTGGCATTAATCTTAACCTTAATCCAAATGCCAATCCAGCTGCCTGGCCTGTACTCGGACATGAAGGAACTGTGGGAGCAGGCAACCCTTCCAGTATTTGCAGTCCAGTCAGTGCCATAGGTCAGAACATGGGCAACCAGAATGGGAACCCAACGGGCACCTTAGGTGCTTGGGGAAACTTGCTGCCGCAAGAGAGCACAGAACCACAAACGTCCACTTCTCAGAATGTGTCTTTCAGCGTACAACCTCAGAACCTTAACACTGATGGACCAAATAACGCTAACCCCATGAACTCTTCACCAAACCCTATCAATGCAATGCAGACAAATGGACTGCCGAACTGGGGCATGGCTGTTGGCATGGGGGCCATCATCCCGCCCCACCTGCAAAGCCTTCCTGGTGCTAATGGGACATCAGTTTCTCAAGTCAGTGGGGGAAGTGGTGAAGGAATGGGCAATTCAGTGTGGGGGATATCCCCAGGTAATCCTGCCACAGGAAACAGCAATTCTGGGTTCAGTCAGGGGAATGGAGACACTGTGAACTCAGCATTAAGTGCTAAACAAAATGGATCCAGCAGTGCTGTACAAAAGGAAGGGAATGGAACAAGTGCATGGGATTCGGGGCCTCCTGCTGGTCCTGGGATCTTAGCATGGGGCAGGGGCAGTGGCAACAGTGGCGTTGGTAATATGCATTCTGGTGCTTGGGGCCACCCAAGCCGCAGCACCAGTAATGGCGTTAACGGTGAATGGAGCAAGCCCCCAAACCAGCATTCCAGTAATGACATCAATGGGAAAGGATCAACAGGGTGGGATAGCTCTAGTGTTACCAGCCAGAATCCTGCCATGCAGCAGGGCAATGAACAAATAAACTCTTGGGCCAAAGCTGCAGCATCTGGCAACACAGGTAGTGAAGGCAGTAATGATAGCAATGGGAGTCAGAATGAAGGCAGTACTGGGAGGGAAGGAACTGGAGAGGCTCGAAGAAGAGACAAGGGAATGCTAGACCAAGGACAAGTCCAGTTGCCAAGGAATGACCTTGACCCAAGGGTTCTGTCCAACACTGGATGGGGACAGACTCCTGTAAAACAAAACACTGCCTGGGAATTTGAAGAATCCCCAAGGTCTGAACGAAAGAATGACAATGGAACTGAGGCCTGGGGTTGTGCAGCTACTCAGCCTTCAAACTCGGGGGGCAAGAATGATGGGTCCATCATGAACAGTACAAATACCTCTTCAGTATCTGGGTGGGTCAGCTCTCCACCTGCAACAGTTCCAACTAATACAGGTTGGGGCGACAACAATAACAAAGCGCCAAATGGCCCAGGGGGATGGGGAGAGCCGGCAAGTTCTACTGCTGTCAATAATGCTGCTGCTGCCAAAAGTGGCCACACTTGGAGTGGGACCACGAATCAGGAGGACAAGTCGCCTACTTGGGGTGAACCTCAGAAACCCAAATCTCAAAACTGGGGAGATGGACAGAAATCGAATCCAGGCTGGACTTCAGGGGGTGGAGATTGGGTTGATTCCTCATCTGTCCCTGGACACTTGGGAGATGGGAAAAAGAATGGTTCTGGATGGGATGCTGACAATAGAGCAGGGTCTGGCTGGAATGATACTACGCGTTCTGGGACCACTGGATGGGGAAATGGCACAAACAGCAAGGCTAATACAGGTACGAGCTGGGGGGAATCTTTAAAACCTGGTCCTCAACAGAATTGGGCTTCTAAATCCCAGGACAACAACGTGAGTAATTGGGGAGGAGCTGCTTCTGTTAAACAGACTGGATCAGGATGGGTTGGTGGACCAGTGCCAGCCAAACAGAAAGATAGTAGTGAAGCAACGGGGTGGGAAGAGCCCTCTCCACCATCCATTCGGCGCAAGATGGAGATTGATGATGGTACCTCAGCTTGGGGTGACCCAAATTACAATAACAACAAGACTGTAAACATGTGGGATAGAAACAATCCTGTAATCCAGAGCAGTACCACAACCGCCACCACTAGCACCACCATTATCAACGCAAACATGGCTGAACCTCAGCCACCGCACCAGTCAAGTGCCCAGTCAAACCGGTCCCCGCTGCTTGGTCCAGGTATGATACAGCTTTTGTTTTCTCAAAATAAGTATGCTACCTTTTGGAAAGAAACTTTAATAAGTGTGATGCAGGCATTATTTGTTTATATTCAAGCTATACTTCCTGCCTTAAGGATAAGTTTGTATTTAATACGAATAAGGTATAAAAAGGTGTCCAAAATACTCATTGCTATTAAAATTTATCATTTCATTTTCCATTCTGAATTACAGCACACAGACAGGGCAGACACAAGAGGCTAAGTTAGGGTGACCAGATGAAAATGTCATATATGAGAAATGATATGCAAAAGGATAGAAGATGCAGACAGCATGCCATTAGATCAGTCTGTGGATCATCTTTCTTTTGAAATTGTGGTTACGATAATAATTGTTTTACTAAGGATGGAGAGAAAAATCGAAAAGGTATAAAGAATTATCAGATTATGAAATGATTTTGGTAATTGGCTAGTGATACCAATACCTTGTTTTAGAATATACATAGCCAAGTAGGTGTGTTTAAAGCCATAATCTGGCAATTCTATGGGACATAATGGTTGTCAGTTCATCTGTACATGCTTGTCAGATCACTATCCCTTCATAGGACATATCTGACAATATTATCTTCATTAGGGAGCATTGCTGTGGCTCACATTGCTTGCCAACTCCCCCAATCCCTTTGCCAATCCCCTTCTTTCACTCAAAGCTCCCCATCCCCTCAAACCTCATTTAATCTGTCTAACTGTTGCCACCCCAATTGCAGATCCCCATCCCCCAAAACACCCCCATACCCTCACAGCTTGCCCCTTCCCAAGATCCTGCTGCCACTTGCAGACGACAGGGGAATGAAGAGGAGAAAGTCTTTCTCCCCTTTGCTTCACACTGCAGTGGTTTGAGGCAAGTTGTGAGGAGAGGGGGGAGTTTTTGGCAAACATTGGGCAGCAGCAACAAAGACAAGGAGCACATGAAGGTCTGCCAGGGTGCATGCTCACTCTGCTGGACTGCCTGCCTGCTCGTTCAAACCCCAGGCTTCCCAGGTGGCAGTGGCTGCAGACAGAACAGGGGAAGGCCTTCCTGGGTAACCCACCTGCTGTTTTGCTCTGCCAGCTTGCTCACTCGTGCTGCCAGCCTGTCTGCTCTGCTCACTTGCTCTGCCTGCTGTTGTCGCTGCAGTTCTCATGGCCACCTATTGGCAGCCACACAAACTGCAGCATGACTTTTTTCTTACAAAAATATTATATGGTAAGATATAATTTCATCATGTTTTTGAATTTACTTTCTTTGCTCTGTTGCTGTTTGTCCCTCTTTGATGTGCATTCTCCGACACCATCCATCTGTTTCTGTTACTCTGGCTGTCTCCTGCCAAAGACATATTTCTGCAATTGTGGCTGTTACCCAAGAGGCTGCTTAGTTGTTGAACCAGTGATTTTTATTCATTATCTCATACAAAGAGATTTTTGTCTTGAGAAATAGAAAACTCTGTGTTTATATTCTTTTGCTGAACAAAATAATTAGCTGTAATTTGTGTTGTCTTAGTATTTAAAAACTTCCAATTTTTTGCAGCAGTGAAGGAAACCTTTGACAGTCCTCTGTACTTTTAGCCAGTCCTCAAGTTTTAACTTACCACTACCAGAAGAATGCAGCTCCTAATCATTAATGCTTGCCCCCCACCACAATTTTAATGTCTTTGTGCCATTTTCTCTATTTCACTTGATAATGTTTAAGAAAATATTTTTGGAGGAGATTTTATCCAGTCTGAATGTCTTATGTAGTTGGATATCATGCCCCTAGAAATTTTGTAACCCTTTGACCAGATTTGGTAGGGTTTCGTATAATCAGTCCTATCTCTAGAATCCTGAGTTTTCCTGACTTTACTACTACATGAAGGTAGATGAGCTACCTGTACTTAAGCTCATAAGTAGTGACATATCATCAAGCTTCGGTAGGAAGATTTTAAAGCACCTGTTACTTCAGCATTAAAAATGAATATTCAATCCTTTAGTGGGATATGGACATCTCTACATAGTGGGCATGATTCAACCCCTACCCAAGTGCCCTGGAAGCTTCACATGTGGGTAAGCAGCTGTGAACCATGATGGAACAGCTGTGACAGTCTGCTCTGATGTGGGGCCTTACAGGGGCAGAAGTATCCTGTCCCCTTGCCCTTTGTGCTAACCACATCCGCTGCTGTTCTACAGGGTGAGTCTTTTAAAAGAGGCCCCGTGGAACATGTGTACTCTGCATCCACAGGGCCTCTTTTAAATGCATTTGTGTGGGGGTCATAATAGAACTAAATTTGGGGACAGTCAGAGGGGTGGGATTTGTAGATTTCATTAAGATCCCCCTACCTTTCCCCCATAGGGACGCGGGTGGCGCTGTGGGTAAAAGCCTCAGTGCCTAGGACTTGCCGATCGAAAGGTCGACGGTTCGAATCCCCGCGGCGGGGTGCGCTCCCGTTGCTCGGTCCCAGCGCCTGCCAACCTAGCAGTTCGAAAGCACCCCTGGGTGCAAGTAGATAAATAGGGACCGCTTACTAGCGGGAAGGTAAACGGCGTTTCCGTGTGCTGCGCTGGCTCGCCAGATGCAGCTTGTCACGCTGGCCACGTGACCCGGAAGTGTCTCCGGACAGCGCTGGCCCCCGGCCTCTTAAGTGAGATGGGCGCACAACCCTAGAGTCGGACATGACTGGCCCGTACAGGCAGGGGTACCTTTACCTTTACCTTTCCCCCATAATATGAGCACTGGACCCTCGTCATTGTGTTGTGGCCAAGGCATGCCTGGCCAATTGATAAATCCATTATAAATGCACACACACACACACACACCAATTCCCCTGGGGATTGAGCTGTCCAGACCCTTGTGTGCAGGGTGTTCCTATGTGGGATATGTACCTATGTGGGATAAATACCAGCCAGCCCCCTCCCACGAGCCAGTATAGAAGGCAGAGTTGATACAGAGATGAGAGTAGCCTGAGTCACAGAAGTGCCAGCAACTGGTACAGCTACAATCTCAGCTCCATATATTTAGGGATCAGCAGTTTAATTCATCCATGAAAACACTGTTTGATATTTTCAGTTTTCAACCATAAATGAAGCTATGGTATATGGCTGAATGAAATGGTAGCTATCACTCTTCCCCACTACCCTAAATTGCATCCACAAAGCGACTCTCCTGTACATTTACTGTGTGCAGACTGCTGAGTTTACATAAGCATGAGGGACTTGGACAAGGCTATCCAGATATTCTAAATCAATGATTTTCTGGATCAATAATAGCAGCATTTGTTACAAGTTGTATAGTAATATACCAGCAGTAGCGACTCATCCAGTGGGGCAAAGCTGCAGTGCTAGCTTCCCAGCAGGTGTGTCACTGCCACTTATCTTGTGGGACAGGGTGAAGTGGTGTGGAGCTCAATACTGTACAGTGTAGGTGTATTGACAGGAGGTGTGGATTTGCTCTACTGGTGCATGTTGGAACTCCCCTCATAAGCAATCGCCTGCTTAGAAAAAAGGGTCTTTTCATGAGCAAGGCAGAAGAGACAGGCAGCTGGGGTGGCTAGAAAGCAGTATGTAACAGGGAGATAAATGGTAGCTACAAAGAAGGGCTAGGGTATGAGTTTTCCCCTTCTCTCTGACTGAATCCAAAGGATGCCTAAACCTTGCCCCATCAGCTTTCCTCACAACTACCTAGTGCAGTTATATTTTGGTTTCTTTTAAAGGAAAGCTGAGATTTTCGGGCTCATCTGCAATATGTGTTTGGGGTAGTCCCGATCCTTGCTGTTGATTTGGCCCCAATACAAGCCCCTCACTTCCACTATGTACAAAACTACCCACGTGAGCTGTACAAAACTACCCACGTGAGCTGGGTCATCCACACAAATGCCTCTTCTCCCAGAGGGAGAGATGATCAAATGGACAGGCTTCTGTGTGACCAGGAGTTTACAGAGAAGCCACACTTCAGATGGCAGATTATCTGTATGGTGAAGGACAAGAGATTACACCTCTCCTTCACAACATTATTTCAGTGCCAGCTCCTAATGAATTGCACAGCTGAGTTCAACAGTACTTCCCGTTTGGGGAAACTAGCATGAAAACACAACACAATTTGAATGTAACTTAAAACTCTAGTAATGTAATGTGGTGACCTTAATAAGACATGAAAATCTCTTACTTTGAGTCATTTAAATGCCCCCAGTGACTAATAGAATCTATTTATGTTGTGAGCTACAAGAGTTGTACTAGAAAAAGGCTGTTTATGTAAGATATTTTAAATTTCTCATTGACTCAGAATTAAATATTTCTGTGGTCTTTTGTAGTACTATTCTGTAGTATCAGCCTTCTTTCTAGATAATGTAAAAAGATATTAAAACACAGCAAACTAACTTAAAATATATAGACCTAAGTTATCCTTTTGTCCCCTAAAGCATGTATAGAATCATAAATCTTTATTGAGACATTATATAGCCACATTTGAAATGGAAGTTTGCACCCTGCATGGTAACAAATGAAGCCTATATGTGCATAGAAAAGTAAAAACCTGGATTAATGCCACTTTGGCTTTCTATCCTAGCTGGGCTGGACAGACAACATAAACAGTTCCTGCAAATAAGATGACAGCACAAAACCCTTCATTTACTGATGTTTTTGTCTACCCGATGATTTATTCTCTTTGTCTGTCCTCTGTTTCCTCTGTGCTTTGAAGTGTTCCTCTAGTAAGGATGTTGTCCTGGTGAGGTACTGTAAGATAAGAAAGCCATTTCTCTGGCTTATTTTCAGCAATAGTGCAGACATAACAAAGTGAGAGGTGAGTGCCAAATTACTTCTCCTGCCCCTTGCAGGAAGAGCTTTCCCCTTCTATTATATCTTCTTACAATTCAATTACAGTGTATCCGTGGGATGTAAACAAAATTATGAAGCATATTATCCACCTTTAGTTATACATGTGGATCCAAAAGCACCCACATACCTTTATTTTAGTCATAGGTATCTAAAGTGTAAACATTGTTGCTTGTCCCAGGTCATGAGGGGAATTCATAGCTAGTGGGCACTCCTTCTTTGGAGGTTTTTAAGCAGAGGTTGGATGCTCATCTGTCATGGATGCTTTAGTTGAGACTAGATGACCCTCAGGAGTCCCTTCCAATTCTACAATTCCAGGATTCTTAAAATTGGGACTGTTGAATTCCAATAAATCAGTTACTTGTTGACTTTCTAGCTACAATGAAATAAAGCAGTGGTGGCTAACATATGGCCTTCCATATGTTTTTGGACTCAGAATTCCCATCAGCCACAAACAGCATGGCCAGTGTCAGGGATGATGGGAGTTGTAGTCCAGCAACACCTGGAAGGCAACAGGTAGGCCTCTGCTGAAATAAAGTTTGTTACCCCATCATCAACCAGACAGCTGTAGCCCTTTTAAAAATAAGTCTGCCTTAATGTTGGGAAAAGCAGGTTAATGTTATGGAACAGTTCTTTGTCTGGGTCATCAAGGAATGCCTTCTACCAGTAGTGAGTCAGTTTATTTTGAGGGATGACACACAAATGACGGGGGTATTTAAAAAATCAGAAGAAATGTCATGCTGAAATTCATCCCCAGTGGAGATCTCCCACTATCATCCTCCAATGCAGTACTTCTAAAGAGACCCAGCTATCTGATCCTGTGAGCCTATGAAATATCATTAGTAATATGCTTCATTGGATTGAAGGTAGTGTGTGAGAGAGAGTGTGTTACTTAAGAAATGCAAATATACATAACCGTTCTGAAACCCCCAGTGGAGTTTGAATTGTTTCAGGGATTCAAACGTCAGCAATACCCAAGTTACTGTTTAAAGATTTTTCTAACTAACTGCCGTCATATTCAACACTGCAATTTTTTGCACTTGATTTGATCTCTTGAGAACTTTACAAACTATGGGTGTCTTAACACATGTTATTGTTTTCATGTAATTACATGTAATTTGCCAGGGCATGAACTCCCTTGTTGTGCGTAATAATTTACATAACATTGTGTGGCTCAAAACACAATGTATTTAACAAAATGGCTTATACATTACAGATTGGTAGTGATTAATCATTATTATTGAATTTAAAGAGAACCCAGGGAAGCTGGTCCCTCTTTCTTTGTACTTAATAAATGAATACATGTTGCAGTGGAAATTGCAGTATTCAGCTTGAGGTTAAATGTACTGTTGCAAAGACTCAGAGCTCTTTAAATTGTGCATTCTAGCTTCCTTTCTAATAATTAATGAGACTTAATTTCTTCTATGCCAACATGTATGTCAATATATGACCACAGAATGAAGGCGGAAATGAGGGAAAGCCTTTTAACTCCATGTGAGAGGCATCCAGCCAAAGATTGGGCTGGCTATTTCAAATCAGTTTTTCAGCTTTATATTTCCTTATCTCTGAAGCTCCCCATGCCTTATGAACAGACTATTCTTTCTCCAGTCTCCACTACACAAACACCTCCATCTGGCATCAACTCTTCAGTTCTCTCCTTTTCTATGTTCCTATCTTAGGCTGCTTGCCTACATTTGCTACTTCACAGGTCCTCCCCTACTCTCGCTAGTCCCAGTAGCTCCTCCACAGTCTTAGGTTAGCTCCTCCACAGTCTTTGCAGTTAGCTTCACTCCCATAAAATACCTTGGAGCAGGAGTAGCTCCTATTAGCTTAACCAGTCTGTGCAGTGGTCAAGAATGAAAGCAGTTGCGGTCCACCACACTGGCTACCCTTGTCTTAGTGTATTACACAATATACGGTACCTTAGTGAGCCCAAGGGCACATATGGAAATCTAAGAACTGGTTTGAGCACTATAAAATACCCAGGTTACAGAAAACAACCTGGCAATGCTCAGAACCACCCCCACCCCACACAAAAGCAGGCAAAAGCACCTTGACACTTCCCAAACAGTCTAGCCACATCTCTACCTGCCCCACACCTGGTGTCACATATGTAGGGCAGGTGGCCATGATTTGGGGAAGTTGGCCTTGGGGACCAAATTGGGACCCATGCCAGGCCCAATTTGGCCCACGGGCCAGAGGTTTCCCTCCCTCATTAGATATCCTTACAGTAAGGATACCCCTGAGGTAACTCCTGTTTTACACACAGACTTGGAAATAAAGACTTGCCTATTTGAACGTTAAACAAGGATTTGAACCAAACTCATGGGGAAATACCTTCCAATACCACAGCTCCCAAATCACACACAGTTAACAAATGTTATTTTCTAGATAGCTCTGCCTTAATTTTCTTTCTCTTTGTGCCTGAATAAGATAAGATCAGAATCTGATTTTTTGAAGTCTGCCATGCAAATAAATTCAAAATAAGAATCTAAAATTAATCACGTTACTTCAGCATGCTGCAGCTCTTAGAGAAGACTTATCTTAAAAAAGACAGGTCTGAGACCCAAAGCTAACAAGTGATTTTTCCTCCACTATTGGCTAGCGGCCAGGTGATTAGTGGAATGATGTATGCTGTCTGTGATTAACCAAGCCAGACCTACTGCATTAGAGCCGGGCTTTGGTAAACAGCAGCATGACGTTTGACCTTGCAGCGTTGCCTCCTGTGGTAAAGGTTCCTTTTGGACAAGAAGCAGGAGGATTTTACTAGAGAAGGAAGGGCTGATCATTAAGATGCCAACTCCTAGTCAGCTTACAAGCTGTTTAGGAACGTAGGATGGCTCAGAGCAATTACTATGTTTCTGTTTGGGTGCAGGACCTTTTTTCTGCCTCAAAGCTTCTTACATTACAGAAAGCCACCCTAAACAAAGATACATCAGCTGTAAGAAACCGAGGATAATGGTGAATGATAGACAGAATTCTGTAAAAGGACGAGCAAATGCGGATCGTAACAATGATCTTCCTGCAACCACCCCACATTCTCACACATCACACACATGGTCATATAGTATACACATAGCATACATGCATCACTCCCCCAGCAACTATTTTTGGGAAAGCATTTCAACTTGTTTCAAACCAAATTGCCAGAGGTGATCATGAACACTAAAGATGGGGAGGATTAACCTCTCCCCAGCTGCAGCTGCCCAATGCAGCATTTATGCTTGAAAACAGCCCTCGGTTGGCTACAGTGTTTTCAAGCCTAGTTGTAGCATGGAGGAGCTGTTTTCAATGTGTGGGGTTACTGTGTATGGGAAAGGCAACCTTCATTGGGACAGTGGAAGAGCAACTCTGCCACTTCTTCTCTGTCATCCACTTTTGATATCACTGACCATGTTCCATAGCCAACTCTGTTCATCCTTGGCTCCTGATCAGGGACTTTTGTTTCATTTTTTTACAGTATCTGCATGCTGCCCAACAACAGTGTTCTTTGGACAGCTCATAACAATAAGGGAAAGCTGGGGGAGTCTTCTCTATATCATACAATAATAATTTTGATAGTCACTGCATGCAAACTCTGTTTATTATCTGATCTCAAGTTGTAAATTACTTTTCTCATGTTTACTCCTTCCTCCAGTGACCATGTTATCCTTGTAAAACACACAACATTCTGTCACTGTGATAGTAACCTATTGCTCTGGATCAAATCAAGGCATACTCAGTATGTGCTCCAATCATCTAATTTCTTTAAAAATCACTTTGGTTTTAGTTCCCAGATTTAATAACTGCTTCATATGTGTTATCAAGACATGCATTATTCCAGGTGTAGCCAAGATATTGTTTGAGTCCATCTCCCATCGGCCCCTGGCATTTTATCCAATAACATCTGGAGGGTACTATGGTGTCTACATATTCATTTATCTGATCTGATGTGTCTTATTATCATAATCAATTGGCATTTTGTAGGAGGTAGGGAATGCTTGTGACTCAGTCATCCAAAAGAATCCACAGGTGCTGTTTCTTATTATGATGCAGGCACCACTTCCTTCACAATTTCAGCAAGTTATTCTTACTGTGCACAGGTATATTCTTCCTTGAAGAGGAAATGAAATGGGTCTGTCTTAATTAAATCCTCTCTCCCCCAATTGCTTCATGCTTAAAAGTTGTCCATAGCTAGTTATGTATGTATGTATGTATGTATGTATGTATGTAACGCTTTCCGGAAATGTATTCCGAAAAGTTGATTTTATGTTTCTTTGTTTCCTCTAACCATGTCCCCCCCCCCCCCCGTTTCTGATTTCAGCAGGCTGGGGAGAGATGCCTGCTATCCATGCAAAGCCTGAAGCTTCATGGGGAGAGCCTTCCTCCCCTTCTGCTGCAGTTGATAATGGCACTTCAGCATGGGGAAAGCCTCCCAGCAGTGGTACAGGGTGGGGAGATAACTCTGCTGAGTCAGCAGGGTCATATGGAAGAGCAAGTGCACCAGCTGCTGCCCCAGTACTGTGCAAACCAGGTAGGTGTGTGTGTTGATTTGTCTTGGCTGAGTTGGCAAGAGGAATTATAGCTCTATTTTCATATAGATAACTTTTTTTTTAGCTTAAACAGGTATTCTGCTTGATCACTTGTACAACCAACAACGGGCCAACATGTATAACCTATGCTCTTTTTATTAATTCGGACATAAGCTCTCCAAATAGTAAAATACAGAACAAGCTCGACAAAAATTTCCAAATATATTGACTCGCACATGATGCTTAGTGTGACCTGAGCGTCTGGGGTCCTAGAGAGGAACTAGTGGCCGCATTACTCCTGCTGTCAGCTTCTTGTGATTTGGCCTAGTGTGTTTCCTGAACCCAGGCTCGTGGTTTTTCTCACTCTGAGCAATAACTTTTCATTCATGATTTGTCTGGAATGAGACACATCAAAGGCCTAGGTTCAGATGAATAAGCCACTAAGCCAATCCATGATTTGGTTCATAGTGGTGCAGCAGTGCTGGAGGGAGGAGCAAAGTGGTTGCTGCCTTCTCAGCGAGAGCCCACATGTTTGTGCTAAGTCTTGACTGATACATGCGAGCGAAGCCCATTGATTTTAAAGTATAGGAAGGTCAACTGAAATGTTCCATTCCTCCTACAGCTTCTAAATCTTATGCAAGAAGGCTGGGGCGGTGGTGGAGATGAAGTAAATCTCAGTACAAGTCAGTGGGAAGATGAAGAAGGAGATATGTGGAATAATACTGCTTCACAAGAGAGTAATTCCTCTTGTAGCTCCTGGGGAAATGCTCCAAAGAAAGGACTTCAAAAGGTAGGACTAAGCACAGCTGGGTTATAAAAATCAGTAAGATGAGATGGTTCGTGCACTTATTTTTATATACTTTATCAAATTGTTTTATGAAAGTATGAAAGTCATCATTTTCAAAAAGCACTACAATAAGATTATTATCCTGTAGTTACCATCACTTGTCTTGTTCAAATGGTGTTGGAAAGCTGGAACGGACTAGAGAATCAGTTGATATGCTATGGCCCTGCCTAACAGATTTCCTTTGCACCCTGCTGTAGATGTCAATCACGTGTTCTTTACAGACACAAACAGATCTGATTTTTGCAGTATTTCAACATTTATGCAAAGACCACATAGTCAGAATGAGTTCTGACAAATAAGGGACACAATAGGTTTACAGGTCATAATGCATGTCTGCTTGCTAACAAGTGTGATAAACTATTTCTCTGCTGTCCAACAAATAAGGTAGAAAGTAGGAATCTTTCTCAGCTGATTGTATAAGATTTGTGTAAACCTGAAAGCCTCCACTTCCAGCTTTAAAGTAACCTGAGTTCCTCCTTGCATCCACACTTAAGGAATTCTAGGTGGCAAAATTTCTAGTTAGTGAACAAGCCAGGATCAGAAACCATATGTTTTATCCTGGCTTATTTGAGCTAACGAGTCTAAACTAACCAGGGAACTGGTTAATTTAAAATCAAAAACAGACGTTCCCTACTTTTTCTACTTTGCACAAAAGAGGAGACTTGCTGCAACTTGTGGATGTGATGCCCAGCCATACTTAACCATAGAGTAATATATTTTCTTTACATCCAAACTGCTTTTCTGACAAGAAGAAACATAGTTCCCCCTCTGGTGTGCACCCAAAACATGCCACAGCTCGTGCATGTAGTAGTATATCTGAGGTAGACAATGTGGTGCCCTCCAGATGTTGTTGGATTACAACCTCCATCATCCCTTGCCATTGGCCATACTGGCTGGGGTTAATGGGACTTGTAGTCCAATAACATCTGGAGGGCACCATGTTGCCTAACCCAACACTATACAATGGTTTAACATTGCACCCAAGCTGTCTCACATTCATGCAATATTTATATGGAAAGACTTTATGTGGATTTTCATTCTCTTTCCCTGCAATAAATATGACAAATAAAGAAATTTAGACTGCAATCCTATACACTGTTACCTAGAAGTAAGTCCTGTTGAATTAAATTGGGTATAGGGTGTTCTCGTTTAAAAGTTTTCCATTTTTCCTCTTAATTAATTTTCTCAGGGCATGAAGACATCTAGTAAGCAAGATGAGGCCTGGATCATGAACCGTCTGATAAAACAGCTCACAGACATGGGCTTCCCAGTGAGTAACATTTGGTTTGTTTATTTATTAAATTTCTAGCTCATCCATCATATGGTTCTAGTCCAGAAATATTCATGTGCTAGTATTTCCTCTGGCTTCGTCTTCATGGTGTTAAGCAGTGATGAGGAACCTGTAGCCCCCCAGATGCTGGTGCACCCAAGCTCACATAAGTCCCAGCCAAAATCAGCATGTCAGATTATGATGTCTTAAGAGAGGAGGCAGTTGCTGTAAGGTGCTCTGAATCATGGCTCCTAGCAAATCCATCTCGCTCCAAATTTTACATATATATTACTGACTTGATTGCAAAATTCCTCTGTTTCAACCAGATAAATGGTTTGAAAGCTCTAGGTATGTCTCCCCTTGCACCTGTTTTACAGTTCTTGTAAAATCTACATTGTGTTTCATAGTTGTGAAAAAACGCAATTTCTCATTTTTGCAGAGAGAGCCAGCAGAAGAGGCCTTGAAGAGTAACAGTATGAATCTAGATCAGGCCATGAGTAAGTATTTTTGTAACTGAAATAGACATCTGCGGGGGTTGATCTGTTACAATGAAATTCACATCACTTTTCCCAGCAGCATTATATCAAAGGATCGAGTTGGTTGTAAATTATCAAGTGCCAATCTTAGTGTTTTAAAAGACAAAATGCATTTTAAATTTCAAGTATGAAGTGTATTAATGTCAGTGGGAGTGTAGCAGTAGTTGTATCAGTACAACAGTCATTTTGTCTTGATTTAGGGACATTTCCCTCATTTTCTTTGGTGTCTTCATATTGTGTTTACTTTTTGCAGGTGCTCTGCTGGAAAAGAAGGTGGAAATGGACAAGCGTGGAATGGGTGTGGCTGACTACAATGGAATGGTCACCAAACCCCTTGGCTGCCGCCCACCACCGATCTCCAAAGAGTCTTCCATGGACCGCCCCACCTTCCTTGACAAGGTAGGTGCAGCACTTGGGAAGCAGAGTGGGAAGAAACAATAAAAGTTAGATTAACCTGGAAATATGGGTGGCGCAGGTAAATGTACTGTTTTGCCTCATGAGTCTGCTCCCTTTACTTCTTAGCTTACTAGTAAAAGAAAGCATAGTTACTGGAGAGTGAGATGTTCTATTTCACTTGCAGGTGTAGACATTTGGCATTAGCACAATATCGCCACTTGCTGCTTCCAGCTGTTCTTTTCTAGCAGGGCTGGCTAACCTATGGGCCTCCAGACCTTGTTGAGACTACAACTCATGATTCCTGACCACTGGCCCTGCTGCCTGTAGCTGATGGGATTTGGAGTCCAATAACATCTGGAGAGCCACAGGTTTCCCATTCTTGCCATAAGGCAGAGATCTTTTTTATACTCAGTATTGTACCTCAGTGGTGCCATATAAACAATAAATATTAAGCTGAGACATCCTCTTGCAGTGTGGATATGTGAAATATGAAAAAAATAATTTATTTCTCTTGTCTTTTGCCAAGTAATCGAGAGACACCAGTAATAGATTTTAAACTTTCCCAAATACATTTAATAATTAAAAAAGGCCCAGCCACTACATGGAGCTTCTCTTACAGGTTTGTCCTTAGACCCTCTAGTACAGGAGCAACCGATGGGCTGCCATCCAGATGTTGTTGGGCTCCAAAGCACATCAGCCCCAGCCAGCATGGCCAACGCTCAGGGATGATGCGAGCTGTAGAATAAAAACATCTGGAGGGCACCACATGCACTGACACATCTACCACATCCAAAATCCCATCTCTGGCCATGGCAATTTGTAATGCTCCAGAGAATAAGAATCCAGGAAGAACACTTCTTTTGGAGTCTGTAATTGAGACATCGAGATAAAGTAATCATCATATGCATCCCCAACTTTTATTTCTAAAATTATTAATTGGCTTAGCAAATTTTCTACAGTTTACAGTTCTAGGTACAGTATCACATTTCTCTGTGTTTTTAAGGGTTGCAAACACAACAAATGAATACCATGTGTTCCATCCAGACTTGCCCCGCTGGTGAACAGAAGGGCTCCTTTGAGTCTGAAAATGCTCAGAATTCCTTTTCCATTAGTATAGGACACTTTCAGGAAGTTTTTCTTGTTAACCAGGAGCATAACTTGGAAAAATAATTATTATGTGGCATTAGCACATAAAAGTGCGGGGGTGAATTGCACCTAAATACAGTACTTGAAAGTTCTGTTGTGGATCAGACTATGGAGTATGGATCACAACAAAACATTTCGTTCTCATTTCTGTTTCTTTGGTTTTTGAAGTGTTAAGGCCACTTTCCCCTTCTGAGGAATGCTTTCCCTTCTTCTTCCAGCTATGTCCTAGCTTTCTTCAGGCCAAACTTCAGACCAAATGACTTTTTAAGCATTCCACAATATTTTGTATGTGAATAGGAACCTTGGTTTTTAGAGCAAACCAATCCTGAGCAGAAGGAACATATAGGACTCTGAAAAGTATTCCTGCTTAAGAGGCAAGAAAGGATAGCAAACAGCTCATGACCTGAACAGAAGAAATCCTTGAACCTGTTACTGTCATGCAAGCTGCAGTTTGTGGAGCATGACGGATATTCTTGCAGAATGTGAAACATGTTGAGCTGAAAGACCTTGGGGATATGATTAGAAAATGTCTGTGTCCTCCCTCAGGACCTTCCAGCACTAAACTAAGTAAGTATCACATTGGTTGATGAGAAAGAAACTTTTCATGGGCCTCTACAAGGAGCCGGCAGAAAAACGTGTATTAGCAGGAGTTTATTTAGGACTCCACAGATATTTCATGTTTGATTGGCATGGAACAATATTTCACCCTTTTTAGGAACATGGGCTATTCCCTGACACTTAATAATCTTCTGAGTGAGTGGGTGGGTGGGAAGATGATGCAAATTAGCTGTAAAATTACTGCTTTTAGCAAGTTAACAAAAGAGCATGCATACACTCGTGAAGCTATAATTATTTGCAAAGTACACAGCAAAATTGAGATTTTTTTCCACATGACTTCAGGCTTTTACTTGTAGAATATTTGCCTGCGGAAGGGGATATTTAAGCATCAGAGAATAATCTGGCTCCACAAGGGGCAGAACCTTTGCTCAGCACCCTGCTGCAGTCTGTGATACTAAACCAGTGGGGGCGGGAAAGACATGCTTTTGTTTACTAACGTTCTTCCAGACAGGCATAGCGTAGCAGTAGAAGCCCCTGTTCTCACTTCTATATTAATTGCTCCACAGCACATACACTGCACATTCATAAATGTAGGCCAGTTCAGATGTAATGCCAAAGAATAGCTTAGCATTGAGGTGGACAACCTTTTATAAGTGAAGAGTTGCATTTATTGGAAGAAAAAGTGGCTGAAGACCATGTGAGGGCAATGGGCAGGGCCAAAGCCCAAAGTGTGCAGACACACCTCTTTCCCACACTACCTTCTTTTCTTGTGGCTCCTGCTGTTCAGTTTCCAAAGTAAGTCTACACACACACACACACACACACACACACACCCTCTTACTGTTGCCTCTTTCCCCTCACCAAGGACTCACTTTGTCCTTCTTGTCCAGGCATAGGCAAACTTGGCCCTCCAGATGTTTTGGGACTACAACTCCCATAATCCCTGATCACTGGTCCTGTTAGCTAGGGATGATGGGAGTTGTAGTTCCAAAACATCTGGAGGGCCGAGTCTGCCTATGCCTGTTCTTATCACTTACTTTCTTTCCTTTCTCATTGATCTTCAGTGCCTCCCAACATAACCTGCTCCTTCCCTTCCTAATCGTTCTACTTGTCTAGCTGTGTTGAGGAGAATGAGATTGAGACAGGCAGGCACGCATGTGAGCTGAGGGTCTCGGAACATATATCCCACTGGCTAGAGCCTCTTATTTAAAGAAACTTGTAACTGCTACACTCTGTACTTAGGCCTTTGAGCTCATGTGTGGGGCTGATTGCCAACTTCATGGATTGCTGCAGTTCAGGGATATATATATATATATATATATAGAAAAACCTCTAAGCAGTGAACATAATATGATAACTATCAATAAAACACAGATAAAATTAAAACAAATATACCCAAATAAAGGGTATAATAAGGTAGGCTTGTGGAAATAAAGAAGTTTTCAGAAGGCATCTGTATTATTATACTGTGAGGTTGGGGAAACCATGAGGAAGGGGAGGAACCAATAGCCCCAGGAACCATGTACAATGTTTGTTTATTTACATAATTAATATACCACTTAACATTTTAAGGGGGAAAAATACATGCACAAGTTATGCACTCTACCTTTTCTCCTCTTGCATACAAGAAGAGGTGACTGAAAACTTTCTCTTTTGATGTTAAATTAACCATTATGTTATGTTCAGACTCTAAGAACTCTGGTTAGTTCAGACAAACCCAGGGTCTAATTGTAGTTTATGATACCAGCTTGCTCTTGCTCACTAACTAGCATTTGCACAGTGTTTTCTCGAGTATGACATAACAAGGGATTGTGATTAGCAGGATTTTCTGAACTAGCACTTGATGAATGTTGGAATTTGTAACACTATATCACAGTTATCTTATGTCCACACTGGCCCACTGTGTTTATCCTGCATTAAACCCCAAAGACACTAGCTATACACAGAAAAAAGCATTTTGGGGGGAAGAGCAGAATACCCCTAGAATTAGGTCAGTGGAAGATGGCCACCTAGACAGACATAGACAGATGAGATTACTTCCCCAACCTCCTCCACCTAAAGCTTCTGCTGTAAGGTTTTCTTCTTGATATTTTGGATTGTTTCACATATAATGTGTCCAGTCTTCCAAACCATGGTTAGGATGATTGGGAATAAGCTTTGTGCAAGCCCCTTCCTCTTTAGTATGGCATTTCCTCCTTCCCATCTTTTAGGCAAATTGTTGTTTGCCATTTCATTCAAATCGGCAAACTATGGTTTGTGGCTGACCTTCAAACCAGAACCGGGAACCAACTTTAGGTTGTGATTTCCAGTAATAGTTTGGAGAATATGCACAAACCAGCTTGACAACACTGAGGTGATGGCTTGCCTGGTTCAAAACTTAATTGACTCTGAGCATGCAAGGGAGGGAGGAGATAATCTTATTTCTTGAGGGATAAGAAGTGTTACGTATGAACTCACCAATTTATGGGATGTTCTTGCTTCCAATACTTTGAAGAATTTTTTAAGTGGAAATTGGTTGGGTTGGGTGGGTTACAATTTGGTTTTTGTTTATGCTATGACAAAGCTGAAGAATTAGACACAAAATTCAGCCCACTTATTCACGTCCTACTCATGCCAGTGAAACTTATATGCATATAAACTGGAATATGCTTGGGGCTGCAGTTGACAATACAGAATTCTTTGAAAATTCCAATTAGCTCTAAAACATGGCATTCAGACTAGGACACTGTCAACATAGCAGCCCCCTTGTCGTCTTCCTCATCCCTCAGATTGGTAACTGATTTAAAAATAAATTGTTATACACCTGCATTCAATAGCAGATGTTTGTTTACATACTGATTACTATGCTAATGTTTAAAAATAGTTTAATGTCTGTCATGTACCTAACTGTAGATGACACAGAAGATTAATGGAACAAGTTTTCTCAACAGCTGATTTGCAATTTAGAACACTACCTAAAATTGGAATTGTTGATTATGTATATTACCAAAGTATCAGTGAGGAAAGCATTCTGAAACTCCTGTAATTTTTAACTTTCTTCATAAGTCTGTTTCCACTTTGGTTTATGGCGGTGTTCCAAAAATGCAATCAGGCTTTTCAGGGTTTTCAGAAGAATTGAATGTCCTTTTGTCCTCCAACCCCTCCCCTTTTGTTTTATTTTGTAATTGAGAGAAAAGAGAGGAAATGAAGTGGGCATGGAAGTAATGATCAGGCAGAAGTCTGTCTTGTGCGGGTGTTCTTGCCATTCCTCTTGAGGCAAGGGATCGGTTGCCCTGTAACATTCCTATTTTTAAAATGTTACAACAAGCATCCCTTTTTGTGCCTGCCATTTTTTCGTACTACAGAATACTGTTCAGTTATAGATTTACAAAATGCAAAGCGAAAAGTAAAGACAAACAGTATCTAAATTCTGTTTCTCTTTTTCTTCTCCCTTCCACCCCATACTTTTCATTATATATTCCTCATGCCTTTTTAAACAATATTTTGAACTTTTATTCATCCATGTTCCACTTATATTTCCATGGGAAACTGTTCTGTGCACTGTCTGTACCTGGACACTGCACACAGCTCACCCTTTCTTTTTTCAATCAGGATGGCGGCCTAGTGGAAGAGCCCACTACTTCACCATTTTTGCCTTCACCAAGCCTGAAGCTCCCCCTTTCAAACAGTGCACTCCCTAATCAGACCCTGGGTGGGATTGCCTCAGGGCTGGGCATGCAAAACTTGAATTCTTCTAGACAGGTAAGGTATCTTTCGAGTGACAGTTATTTGAATGTCGGCACGCTTGCGCTTGCTAGTCAGCAAGATATTTGTTTGGCTTTGCTTTTCATTTTAAGGCTCCTTTTTCTCAAACGTAAAGAAGTGAATGAAAAGTCAAAAATCAGCTTGTCATCGAAGCGTATTTCAAATGACAGTTGTTACTGCACGCCAAGATTCCCAAAGGTCCTTCGCTATAGAACTTGCCCTTCCTTCCCTGCAGTTCCTCCCGTCCTTTGTTGTTGGTTCCTTTTCTCCTCTGGTGAGCACACTGGTGCTCCTTCCCATCCTCACACAGACCATACTTCTTGCCGCTCATAGCTCTTGCCGCTCTTGCTTACTTCCTCTTCGCCTTCTCAGCTCATACACGTTGAAAGGTTTCCCTATACTGGGGCCTTTATATCACTCTTCTCCCCCACCCTCAAGATTTCTTGGTTGCAGTATGTGCTTGTTAGGTGGAACAGGACCAGTATTCGTTTTTAACTGTCCAATCCACACATTTGGTGCTGCTTCCAAGTCTAGATGATAGAGCACTTGACTAGAGAAACCAAATATTTGCCCTTTTGCCATTGCTTACACTATAATGTCAAGGCTGTCCTCTAAAACCTATGGACCAAATTATTTATACAGTGGTACCTCTGGTTACAAACTTAATTCATTCCGGAGGTCCGTTCTTAAGCTGAAACCGTTCTTATCCTGAGGCGCGCTTTTGCTAATGGGGCCTCCTGCTGTCTGCGCACCTCCGGCACACAATTTCCCTTCACATCCTGGAGCAGAGTTTGCAACCAGGAGCAGCTACTACTGGGTTAGCAGAGTTGGTAACCCGAAGCATCCGTAATCAGAAGCGTTCGTAACCAGAGGTACCACTGTATTTGAGCTGGCTAGGTATTGTTAAATGCCAGCATCCTGTTCCTACAGTGGCCAAGCCCACAAGCAAAACAGAAGTTCCTTAGCTCTCTCCTGTTCCCCTGTAACTGGTATTCAGAGGCATATTGGAGATTGGAGATAATGTACTGTATAGCTATTGCTAGTCTTATGCTCCATGAATTTGTCTATTCACCCTCTAAGCTATCCAGGGTGGCATCGATCACTGTGTAAAGAAGTTTGTCTGTCTTGAATCTCCTACCATTCAGCTTCAATGGATTATCCCGGGTTCTAATACTGTGAGACTATCCAGTTTCTCGACACCATACGTAATTTGTTTCACATGCCCCAGTTGCCTTTTGCATGAGCTAAAAAGCCCCAAACATTGGAACTATGTGTCATAGTTGATAATCAGGAAACTACATGGTACAAGTGGTTTTTGTTTCTGTTTTTAAAGCGAAGGTGATAAAAGGATAAGCTGGAATGTTTACCCAAACTTATTAGAATAATAGTAATTCATTTTTACTTTGGCCACATTTGGACATCGCACTTAACTATAGTTTAGCATAATATGAAGAAGCTGCCTCCTTTCTGCTCAGGCATGACCATTAGGAAGAGCAAACAACAGTCAAGCAGGATGCCCAAATGCATTCCAGTACCCAAATCTATATTTTTATGTCATACATTCCACACGTACAACGTATTTTTTTTTTTACTGAAACTAGAGGGGAAAGCTTTACACTATATGTCCAGGAAAAAAGTCATTTCCTAGATAAAGTTAATTCACATACATGTAGATTATGATTGACTCATTTTGAAAGCGAAATTTAAGCCTGCTTTAGACATGCAACTACCTTTAAGGGTGGCTATTTGTATCTGCATCCAGTTGCTTGCATTGCATTTCTATAGCAGATCCCCATGCTGTTGCAGCACTTTCAGTGGCATCATTGCTAGCCTTCTTTTAGGGGCATTTGCCATGGTTTGACAGAATTAGGTGCAGTTTTGTACGCACCATCATCTTTCCAAAGGAAGCTGCTTCCACAAAGTGAACATGGTTGGCTGCGTGAGTAATTTAGGTCAACTGATGTATTTGTACCAAACTCCTACCGATGGTACATGCCTACTGATGTTTCAGTTTGCTGTACTTTAAACCAGTGGTGGCCAAACTTGGTCCTCTAGGTGTTTTGGGACTACAACTCCCATCACCCCTTGCTAACAGGACCAGTGGTCAGGGATGATGGGAATTGTAGTTTCAAAACAGCTGGAGGGCCAGGTTTGGCCATCACTGCTTTAAACGCTTCACCTGCTGCCAATCTGCATGAGAGCTCCTTTGTTTGCTAATGTCTTGAGCTAGTCTACAGTGACTGTCACAAGCTATAAAATTGTGAAACTTAAATCTTCTAACCTTGTCATCCCACAGATACCGAGTGGCAATCTGGGTATGTTTGGCAATAGCGGAGCAGCACAAGCCAGGACCATGCAACAGCCGCAGCAACCGCCAGTGCAACCTCTTAACTCATCCCAGCCTAGTCTTCGTGCTCAAGTGCCTCAGTTTCTCTCCCCTCAGGTTAGATTGAGCTCTGTAGCATTAGTGATAGCCAGGGTTGCAAACCCAGGTGTCGTTAACCACTGGCAGTTGGAAAACAAGGGCCTAGCGGTTAGCACTTGGGTTGTTGGTAAGGTCAGGAGGCAGGTTTCTCCTCCTCACCGGCTCCTCAGTTTTGCAAAAATGGTTGTATCCCTGGCGATGGCCATTTCTGTGCCATAACTAATGCATATTGAGTGGAACACCTAAATGGAAGAAAATATAATATATTCTTAAAGTTATCTGCACCTAGAGATGGCTGATAGTGCCAGTTGGAATAATGCAACATAAAATATTGACACCACCACACTTACACAATATACTTCTATGAAAGGCACCATGTGTAGAGAAATGCCACAGAGTTTTTAAGTTGCCATGCCAGTTTATTTGAATTACAAAAAATAGCATGTTGTGGGAAAGTTATTAGTGACTCAGGTTGTACCCTACTAAATCATTGCATGTGTGGAATGACTTTTGTGAACAGGGTGGAACTTCCTCTTCCTTTCCTGCCCCTGCACACACCCCAAATCTGCCTTGGGAGTTCCCTCAACCCCTGAGCAGTTCTGGGGGGAGAAGAGGGAGAGCAATTTGTGTGGCACTTGCAGAAGTTGTTAGACACATACAATGAGTTGGTTGGATACAACTCTCAAGTATTTATATTTTATGTGTCAGGTTTAGAAAGGATGAGCAATTCTGGAATGAAGGTTTATTTTGCTGTGATATGTTGTGTTTGCTTTCAACTTCTACACATAGCTTTCTATTAAACAAAAATCACAGCAAGTAACCTAAAAACCACTTTCTTTGGAATTGTCTTGTTTCAACTCTGCAAGGAGTTCAGACCTGTAACTAAGGTCATTACTAACCACTGTAGTAATGAATATTCACCTCTTACATTCTTTTTCTCCAGGTTCAAGCACAGCTTTTGCAGTTTGCAGCAAAAAACATTGGTCTCAATCCTGCACTATTAACCTCGCCAATTAATCCTCAGCATATGACGATGTTGAACCAGCTCTATCAGCTGCAGCTGGTGAGTTAAAAGCCACAGTGAGAAAGCTATAAATCCAGAAAGAAAATCTTGCATTTAAAGCCACATGAATGGGCATGTTCACTTCAGAAATGATGATTAGACTTGGTTCTGAAAATGAATTTATATACCTACCTGAATCTTAAAAGTTGCTTGATACTTCCAGTATGATAAAGACTAAATTCTTTGCTCATTACCATTGGATTGTTCTAAACTTAACTTTTGAAACACATGTATAGGACTGTAACCTCAAAAACAACCTCTGGTACCACTACTATTACTCAAAATTCTACAATATTTCTGATAGATTCCTGTGTTGTTGTTTTTGTATTGTATGCTAATCTAATAAAATTGATGTTCTGCAATACTTCTTCACCAGTAGATGCAATGGAGCATTATTTCCATTCATTTGTGGAATCAGTCATGCCCTTAATATGCATGTATTTTATTGCAAACCTTTCAAAGTTATTGCAAACCAAATTTTTCTAGGACCCAGTCCTCCAGATATTAAGATACCAGTGTAGAATTCAATGTACCCAATGGCAACAACTAATCTTAGGTTTTGAGAAAACTGCCCCATGTTATAAATATAGAACTTCTTTTTATTTCAGTTTTGTGAGCATACAGAAGTATGTACAGACATAACAACAGTGGTATAAATACCTTAAATAAGCTTAAGCCCTAGCCAGAGACCAGGTGTGAATGTATGGTTTGAACCATAGTACAGTGGTACCTCTGGTTGCAAACGGGATCCGTTCCAGAGGCCCGTTTGCAACATGAAAAGTGCGCAGCCCACAGCGGCGCGTCTGCGCATGCGTGGGTTGCAATTCGCTGCTTCTGCGCATGACGTCATTTTGCACTTCTGCGCATGCACAAGCTGTGAAACCCGGAAATAACCCTTTGCCGCGGTTGCCACGGGACATAACCTGAAAGAACGTAACATGAAGCAGACATAACATGAGGTATGACTGTATAGAGGGTTTCAGGTAGGGTACAGATGAATTCCACTGGTATCATCTCAATGTATGTGTGCTCCAGGGCTTAGTTTGACAAGCTAAAGGTTCTCTAATCTTTTTGGGCAAGTAGACACACTTGGAATTTTGAGAAAGTGCTAGGGATGTCAGTCACAAAATGGCTGCCAGGAGGACAGGCCCTAACACAAAATGGCTGCTGTGGAGATGTAGCATAATACCAAATAACTGCGGGAGTGGGGGCATGACATACCTTGCTACCAAGGAAAAAGAGAGGAAAAGGAGACAGAATGGTGTGGCATGCCCCTCTCCCAGTAGCCACCCCATCAAAGGGGGAAAGTACATACATCAGCCACCGCTACGCTTGCTCACAATGAGCAACTTGGCACCCAGTGAGATGTGGGCATGTTTAAGGGGGCATGCTCAGTGTAGGAGAGGTGGAGTCATGCAGACAGAATTGAACAAGAAAGGCAAAAAGTCTGAGGGGTTTTTTAAGGGGATATTTATTAAGACCTTCAACAAGCACCTTGTGGGCAACCTCTGCACCACAGTGTTCCTGTTAACTTGAGTTCTAAACCAGGATTAAGAGAGCAGAATTAGCATGAACCCTGATTAAATGTTTTGTCTAACCTGGGCCTTTGTGATTAGTTCTCTCACATGCTAACAACACTCTATTTGCATCTCCGTGTTTACATTTTCTTGAACAATCATTCAGTTGATGATGCCTTTTCCTCATCACGTTTTAAATAGCTTTAATTGGCCATGTATTGTTTGCACTCTTGATCTGAGCTGACTTCTGTCTCTGGGTCTGTTACTTCCTGCAAGGAGGGCTTTGGGAACATGCATTTGTTTCACATGTTATTTAATGCACTTGCAGTGAGGCCATTGGGCTTCTTCACACTGTGACCTTAGACTTCTTCTTTTTCTCAACTTGCAGGCGTACCAACGTTTACAAATCCAGCAGCAGATGTTACAGGCTCAGCGTAATGTTTCCGGACCCATCAGACAACAGGAGCAGCAAGTAGGTGCAACTTGTTGACCCAGTTCCAAATGTAAAGCCTCTAAAGAGTCTAGCATGTTACAAGAAAAAGCTTATTTGTGAAGGAAATCTACTGTGCTGCACGCTTTAATGCAGACATAAATCACACACGGGGCTGACAGACTTCAGTTTCTCTTACCATGTCTGGGATGCATCTAATTCTTAATCTATTGAATTCACTGTCTGCTGAGTGGTTCTAGATAAAGTGCCACAAACCTTTGTTCCATCTAGCATTTGCTTACTTTGTTTTATTTTTTCCTTGCTGCCAGGTTGCACGTACAATCAATAACATGCAGCAGCAGATCCAGCAGCACCAGCGCCAGCTGGCCCAGGCCCTGCTTATGAAGCAGCAGCCACCCCCTCCACATCTATCTTTGCACCCCCCTGCAGGCAAATCAGCCATGGATAACTTTTCACCCCATCCCCAGGCTCCTGGCCTATCTGACCTGCAGACCAAAGAGCAACAGTCTTCACCGAACACCTTTGCTCCTTACCCCCTTGGTATGTGCAGTTATTTAAGGACCTGTTCAGAAGGATGTAAATTACCTAATTATGTATACATACAGTGATTTAACTTGCTTCAGTCTGGAATCCTTTCTCCTGCATACCTCTGCTTCTTAACTAATTTGGCAACTGTGTCCAAATTACTTATTATCTTTATTAATATGCTACCCAAAAACAAAGTTCTCTGGCAGCTAATAGTAATAATAATAATACCATTAAAACTGAACCATAACAACATCAAAAAATGGCACAGTGTTAAAAACTTCAGAAGCAGAGAATAAAATCAGTATAACAAAACTCAGGCAGCACTTATACTCTTTTTATCTTGTATAATATTAGAATCCAGGATCCCTGAATGAGTCTGAATGGTAGAAGGTTTAGGACTGACAGAACAAAATAACTTAAGTCTTAAATTAACTTACAGAAAATGTAGTGGTAGGTACCAGTTTAGGTGGTTGTAAGATACTTGGTGGTTGTAATATACTGTCCCTTCCAATTTACTTCTTGGGCCCTTGCTGCTTTAACCCATGTTTGCATTATTTGTAGACGTAAAAAGATTAGCTCGTGATTTCAGCTTAAAGTAAAGTGTGATTAAATGCCAAGAATCGGGGATTAAGGGTTTCTTAATAGCCTGCCTACTTCCTCTTAGCTGGACTGAACCCAAACATGAATGTAAACAGCATGGACATTCCTGGTGGTTTGTCAGTGAAGGACACTTCTCAGTCCCAATCTCGCCTTCCTCAGTGGACACATCCCAACTCAATGGATAATCTCTCCAGTGCTGCTTCTCCACTTGACCAGAATCCTAGCAAGCACGGTATGTGTCATCGTTCTAAATACATCAAGTCCAATTGCAAGATTCCACGTTTTTCCGATACATTGGTACCTCGGGTTAAGTACTTAATTCGTTCTGGAGGTCTGTTCTTAACCTGAAACTGTTCTTAACCTGAAGCACCACTTTAGCTAATGGAGCCTCCTGCTTCCGCCGCACTGCCGGAGCACGATTTCTGTTCTCATCCTGAAGCAAAGTTCTTAACCCGAGGTACTATTTTTGGGTTAGGAGAGTCTGTAACCTGAAGCATATGTAACCTGAGGTACCACTGTATTCTCTCCCCCCACCCCAGGTTAGCAATGGGCATTGCAAAGTACTTAACAGAATATAAATTTCTCAATGGAACATTTGTATGTGCAAATATCTTATTCTTGTAATTCCCACCACACCCACACACACATATTACTGCTCATACTGATTTCATTGCTCATATTATTGGTCATAATAAATGTTAATGGCCTAAAAACCAAGAAGGGAAAATCAGTTTGAAAAGTCCAGAACATCAAGCATCTCGACTTTTGAGTGGCTTAGGCTAGTCTTATATCCATTTACTGGGAAGTATGCCCCACTGAACTCAATCAGATTTAATCTCCAAACAGGTAAGCATAGAATGCACAGTTAGAAAATGAAATTACACATGTGTTATATTTTTCTCATGAATCCTTAAATCTTAAACTTTATGAGATGTTAAGAGAAGTTGGCAGGGGCGGAGGTTCACTTAGGTGAGCAGTTTCCAAAAAAACACACCCCAAAGAGAGTGCAAAATACCTACCAACTGTGTTTGGAATTCATCACATTAATGTAAATTGAATGCAGACTACAACTGTAAGCAGAGCAGAAGTGAAAATTCAGTATTGCCCTTAGTGTCATTATACATTTTAATCCAATACTGAGAGAAACCTGTTTTAGCTCCCTGCTCTTGTTTCAAACTCCCATTTTCTAAACTCACAGCTAATACTGTGCTCTTTAAAAACATTTACATTTTGTGAGTATATTGGTAAGATTTTTAAGGATCTTAATGATCCATATAGCAAAGTGCTTTTGCTGACACTCAGCAAAATACCATGTTGTGTATCTTACATTTTTCATTAGAGTCCTTTTGTTTTAACTTTACTTGACAGTTTTATCAGTAGCAAATCAGTCCCATGCAGGTTTGTTCGAAACAGGTCCCACTGTGTGTTCAGTGAGATTTACACCCAGTAGCAGCTTTAATCTCACGAATCTTTGATACATAACTTTTGAACTGTGTTAGCTACCTTTCAGCCCCAGTTTAACCTGCTGTCTTTCACTTAACTGGCCACTGTTACAGATCTGTTACAGATACTTTGCTTTGCTAATTATAGTGACTACCAATAAGAGAAGGAGCCAAATGTTAACCATGCTCTTAATAATCTTGTGCTGTCATCCCACCTTCTTTATTCTAGGTGCTATCCCTGGAGGTCTGAGTATTGGTCCTCCAGGAAAGTCCTCCATTGATGACTCTTATGGCCGGTATGATCTGATTCAAAACAACGAGTCACCAGCTAGTCCTCCTGTAGCCGTTCCTCACAGCTGGTCACGTGCCAAATCTGATAGTGATAAAATCTCCAATGGCTCCAGTATCAACTGGCCACCAGGTAACAACAAAAAATGTATTCTAGCTTTTAGAGCTTGAAGGTATTTGAAATGTGATACAAACCCCTTTACTGAGGCAATGCTTTCAGTATCCAAATGTTAACATACTAGTTCAGCTCATTCCAGCTGTAGTCTTCCGTAAGATGAAAGTATGAGGAACATTTTGCCACGCTTTTGTTGGGCGAGGCATGCAGGCACATAAAATGTTTTATCCTGGTGTGAACTGGGATACAACTTCTTACCTGCCTGATACTAGCACTGAATTTGGACAACAAAATCCATCCATCCAAACCTCCCTTATAAAATGTTTTTCTTAAACTTTTTATCAAAATGCCCACTCCATCACCAGAGAGTTGTGTACCTGGTTTCATCTTCTGCGCAATGGTACCTTTTCCCACGCATGTGGATCTTGGTAAGAAATGTGATGTCATCTTATTTCCCCCCAAACAGAATTTCATCCTGGGGTACCATGGAAAGGATTGCAGAACATTGACCCTGAGAATGATCCTGACGTTACACCAGGAAGTGTTCCAACAGGGCCAACTATTAACACCACCATACAAGATGTTAATCGCTATCTACTCAAGAGTGGAGGTAGAGTAATATCCATGTGTCATGTTGCCTTTATTGTTTCCCTTCCTTTCTCTTCAACTTCTGTGTTTTTATAGTATACCCAAGTCTGAAAGCCATCTGTACTCATGACCAGAATTGACATAATTTGCAATTGTATTTGTTCCCTAAACATTTAGTTTTTAAGCTATAAACAGCCTTGGGTGGCTACAAGTTTAACCAGCAGAATAGCAGGGAACAGCCCTATGTAAACCTTCTCTTTTTTTCCCACCCAAAAAATCACTCCCTTTCAGCTGTTCTTTCAACTTGTGGGAAAAGCTGAGCCAGACAGGGGAATGACTAAGCCGCCCCTTCCTCTCTGCTTTCAATTCACAACCTCCTAGTGCTGAATTTTATCTTATTTTTAAGACAAATAGAGAAAGATGCACATCACTAAATGTCATGTCTAGTTTTGGTCCTTATACTCATGCAACTCAAAACTGTGCCTGAATATCTACTGTATTTCATAATAGCTGTTTCTGCTTGAACATCTGCCTTCAGTTTTGATTTATTTTGACTTTGACCTGTAAGGGTATCATTTGAAGACTTCATCATCATCTTTGAAATTTTAAGCCTGTACAAGTTTTAGTTTAGTGGACAAGTCTTCCATGTTCATCAGAAGTTGCTATGTCACTCTTGAGCTTCAGTAAAGATTTCCTTTTTCCTGTACATTACAGCTGTGAAGTCATAATCCAGTTACAAGCAGCTGTCCTGTTAACAAGAAAGTGAATATCATAAATCTCATATGGGGTGTCATTTGTGATGAGAAAATGGGCTGACTCATCACTAAACCCAGAAGCAGGCAATATATATAAAAATAAAAATAGAGGCCCTATATAGTGAATGTTCTTTGTCACATCTTTATCTGAGCTTCCTCAAACACCAGGCTATTGACTCTACTAACTGGCTTCTAAAGTAGCAGAAACAAGCGCTGCATCTGAAGATGCCTAGCTTATATTGAAGTGACTTTCACTGCCCGGTGGAAGTCATGTAGCAACAATACTAACTGGAGTATAGTTGTGTTGGTAATTTACATTTAACAGGCCTCCCAGTTATAGATTGAGCTGTTTCACTCCCTATCTTCAAGGATGACTATGAATCAGTTTTGTCCTTAGAAGTTCTGTACGTTTGGGTGTATTTTTCAGCTATGTTCTTGGATTTGTCGGCTGGAAAAAATAATTGTTTGTCTCTGTTACGCCATCTATGTAGATTTTACATAGAAGTTAGACACATAAGAATAAGAGATTACAGTCAGCAGTAGACATTTGCATGTATGTACAAAGCTCTCTGCCTTTTGTTACCTACATGTACTGTAATACCGTTCTTCTCAACCCAGGCTGTAAATCATAAGGCCAGTGAACTTAGTGTATCTCCCTTTCCTGCCTGGTGGCATCCCTTTGGAATTTAAGGGAATTCAAAATAGCCATTATTTGTGGTCCTTTGCCTCATATTTGTGGGAGCCTTGAAAATCCATCAAAGATTTGGGGGGGGGGGCGTTTGAAAGGATGCATGCACCACTACATTTGCCTTGGCCCTTTTCTATCTAGATTCCAAGATGGAACTGGTGCCAGATTTTTCCCAGCTTATTCACCCACCCAGCTGCACTGAATGACCCTTTTGCATTCTATGAGTGCAGCTAGACATGATCTATGATTAGCTCTCCAGCTCCTTTTTAACAGTTTAATGGCAACTGTGGAGTGTGCAGTGGAAATAACTGAGCTACTGAGGTGCTGGTGTGGGGTTTCTATCATTTCCTGGCAGAAAGGAAAGGGGGTTTCCTTTTCCTTCCACCATTTTCACAATTATAACTCATTTCCAAGATTCTGTTTCTATCATCATGAAGACATACAGGTACTATATGGCAGCAAATAACAGCTTCAGTGGATGAGTGAGGGGCAATTTTCATTAGGTGTTAGCTCCTTGCTTTCCCCCAGTACCAGCATCCTAATTGGATTCATGACAGATAAACACCCTGGACCCGCTCTTAAACTGTTAAAAACAACAACACAACAACAACCCAGAAACATCTAATTTGATTCTGAGATTATTTCACTGCTGAGCATTACTTTGGTTGAGGGATCAAACGCCACAAGGCAGAGGGGGAAATGAGAGGGAGAGATGGTCATGAGAGTGTAGACTTGTGGAGTGGAGGAGAGGAATCATAAGTTGTAGGGGAAAAATGGAAATTTGGATACTAAGAGATCTGTATAGGGGGAAGAAGAGTGCTATAGAAAGCATAGAAAAAAAATAGGGGAGTAATGGCAGAAACACCTATGGATAGAGAAGCAGAAAAATACAGGATTCGAAGAAAGAATAAAGTATGTTGTTTCCCAGTATAGAAAGAAAAGTGGTTAACAGAGAATGGGTTAAAGAAAATGCAGCATTAAAATTTTCAAGAAAGATGAGTTTCAGTTATTAACCATATGATGTAATACTCTTGCATTAGTAAAAATATAAAAGTAGCCTTCAGTTTGACTGAACTCCAAATTATGATTAGAAGTTGTACAGCCCTGTTTTAATGCATACCTTAATGCAGAAGCTATTCATCCCATAGGCAAAGCTGTTTTCATACTGTAAAGTAGAAATTGATGTTGTAAAATATTATGGAAACCAGAAAAACTTACGGAAAATATCTATTTTGCATAATTCTGTGAACATTTATACATGTGGACTCCTCAATAATGAAGTGGCCAGGTTCATGGTTCAGAAATCACATTCCAGTCCTTCATCACCCCACCCCAAGAGAGTTCTGATTCCCTTTTCTGTTTTAGAGCTTCCTCTAACCACATTTTGCCATCAAAATTAGGCAAATTAGTACTAACCTCCAAGCATCATTTGACCCACAGTTTAAAGTGGATTTACAAACTGAATTGTCTCCGACCAATCTTTTGAAAGGAAAAGTGTGGGTACTATAAGGACAGTAGATTGTTCTGGATGGGGAAACCAAGGTGATGAAAAGAGCAGGATATATTTGTACTGCACAGACTGTGAACAGTGAAGCCTTTTGTAGATGACAAGATTTTTCTAACATTTGAAGCATTCCTAAGACTCTCAGGGCTCAGCATCAGAATGCACATATAGAATAACATGGAAACTTGTTTTGTTTATGTGTTGCTTCTTGGTTATTCTATTGCACAATGAAAAAGTATCTGCATTTTTGGAATGCAAATTTAATTTTAGTATGGTTGACATAATTCCTGTGACTTTGCAACTAGCTGAGGCACCCTGATGCCTATTTATCAGCACATCTTCGTATGCATACTTACTACCATAATCAGGTTCTCTGTTAGTAATACAAAAATACCCTGTACATTCAGTATTGAGTGTTGTTCTTTCGGCAGCTGGCATGAGCACAGCTGTGAATGCATTGCCAGAGATGTCTTCTTACAGTCATTAATGACTGTGCCTTCTGCTAGAGGTTGCGGACAAATCTTCATCCACAGCTGTTTCTGTATTACAGCTATTTGCCCTCAATGCATATTGAATGTTCTGTCATGCCTTTTTGTCATGATCATTGACAGTTCCACTTTACCTGCATCAAATCTAGGTCACCGTTCTTAGATTCACACCTTTTCCAGTTCATTTTCTCTCATTGTATATGAGGATAGAGGGCATCATACCTGCAATCTTCACACCAAAATAGATTGTCTGTGTTTGGACATAATGTTAAACCACAGTAAAATGTTATTAAAATGTGCCTCAATTCCCCTTGGGCTTGGGCTCACCCTCTTCCCCCTGTGATGCAAGCACAAGGAGATCATTTGAAAACTAGACTGTGGTTAGACTTAACTATGGTTAGTGAAAATAGGCCAGCTTCATAAATTATGGTTCAAAGTTGGCTTATTGTCACTAACCATAGTTAAGATGCACTGGTTTGGACATGGTAATTCCTCCTCACAGCCATGTTGGAAGAGAAGTGGATAGAATGCAAACCCACAGAATGATTGGGCTTGTTCTCATATTGCTAAATTATGCTTTAGTTACTCTGAACCTACCCAGTGTCTTCAGTGCAAGATCTCTCTTCTCAGGCTTTTACTCTTTCACTGGTGTATTTTTACCACAGTATCTGCATTGCTGCAACTTTGACTTACTTCAGCTGTAATGCCAAACCATGCTTTTTCATTAAATGAATGAGCCTCCGGCTGACTTATTATTTCCTTTCCTCAGATGTTTCAGTTCTTTCCCACACTTCCTGGTTCTTAGCAAACACAGAACTAGAAACCATCATTTGATCTTCGTTTCTAGTTCTGGTTTGGAGGCAAACCATGCTGAAATGGCAAACTATGCTTTGCTGAGAACTAGGAAGTATGGGAAGAAATAAAAATACATGAGGGAATGAATGAATGCACAAGCGTGTGAGGTTCATTCATGTGAGCTGAGCCATAGGGTTGTGTTCAGCTAAGTTTACTCATGGCAGACCCACTGAAATCAATGAACATGACTAAGTTAGGTCTAAGTTAAATGGGTCTACTCTGAGTAAAATTTAGGTGTATACCACTTATAATCTTCTTACATTTATTGCCTTAATGTCTGTAAGCATTCTGCTTCCAAGATTTTTAAAGTAATTTTGGTAATATTTTCCTTTCATAATTTCCCATAGATCCAACTCCCCCCCCCTTATGTGCTAAGGCAGGATCACCACCATATATGGCGAACATATAATCAGGTTGATTTGCTGATTTCCTGGAAGCATGGGAGTCATTCAAGTATACTGTATATATATGCTCATGGGAACTAAAGCACTGGTTTCATGCAACACTCACTGACTGCTCAACTGACTTCCTTATAGTCTGGGATGATGCAGTCCACATGAGTGTGGGATACGCAAAACATTATGTAGCATCATGCAGTTTCTTTGTGGGTTTTATACTGTTGGTTTTTCACTGGAGCATTGATCCTGGAGCAGAAGTTATCACACAACTTTGCGTTACAATTGGTTTTAGTATGTATAGTTATCTTGTTATGAAATACTTGTACAAGATAACGGCCAGCTTTTTTCGAGACTCAGAAAATAACATCAACTTTCCATTTTCTGAATTTATATACATTGGGCATTATCTTCTTGTAGGGGTAGCAAATGTAGGCAAAAAGCTCAACTAGGCTCGAAAGAGATCTGCTTCCCCTCTGCCCGCCCCCAAGCCTCACAGACATGCATGCAGGTGGTGTGATAGGATGTTAGACAGAAAGGAGCATCTCTGTACATCTCATGCATGCCAGTCCAGTCTGTCCTCTGCCCAATACAAGATACTTACGCTATGACTACAAGTAACTTGCAAGGCCTGGAGAGAAGGGGCTGAATATGTGACGTATGCACAGATGTCCCATCACAGTGCCTGCATATTTTTCAGTGTTTGAGCAGGCAGAGAAATAAAAACCAGGGAGCCCTATTAAAGAGAAATAAAAACCAGGGAGCCCTATTAATGTGGGTGCTGCAGCCGCACAGCATATGGATCGGCCCTGTGTTATTACTGAAAATGCTGGGTGCAAGAGCAAGACATATTGCAGCAAACCAGTCACTGAAGAGTGATTCTCTCATTTAAAAAACCATTCACATATACATCTAGTCTTCACAACAATATAGCAAGGTACCTCAGAGGATATATTCACACAACACAATCTACCATAGATGAGTTCACCGTGGGATCCCTAAGCCTTTAAGATGAATGGCTGATGTTTGCACCACCACATCTGAAAACTTGGATAGTCCCTTAATTTATTAGAATAGAGTTGTTGTCCACTTGTATAGTAATGCTAATGTTAGATTGGATTCGATTATTTGGGCTTTCCCCCTTGAGATTCTTCCTTCATATATAAGTTACCCATACCAACAAGATGCCATGTGTGTAAGTCATGTTTAGCCCTTCTGACTATATAAATAACTTCTAAAGTAATTTGTGTGCCTCTGTCTAAGAAGCATTACAAGAGAATTTATAATTCCAGGTGGCTTCTAGCAACTTGACCACCCTATTGGTTTTCAATAGCCTGAATGTGGCAGTTGCACAGTGGCTGCAGAGCACTAGACGTGACACTCGGCTCCCAGGGCAGATTTGTGGAGGCATTTGGTCCTGCAGCTCTGGCCTTGGCCTGTGATGTGACTTATTTTGCTGAGGCTTGTGGGAACATCCCATGCCACAAAGCTGGAGGGGGTGGGATTGGCTGGTGACAGTTGCAGGGATTGTCGAAGGCAAGTGGGGCCGAGATGAGCACATCTGTCTGACCTGCCTTGCACAGAACGATGCTTTTAACTTTCTGACACATGGGTCACCACCACTGATATAGCTGCATTTTCATAAACATTTTTCATCTACGATTCATGTATCCTGGATACGGTGGCAATGAATGTCACCTTCTTGGAAATAACAGTTTAAGGAGAGTTAGAATGTATCCTTCTGCATGGGCACAACTACCCTTGTCACCGTGCCACCCTTTTTTGGTACTTAGTTCTGCTGCATCGGATCATGCTTCCTATAACATTTCATTCCTAGACCTCAAAGGCAAGGCTGGGTTAGCATCTTACCTTGCATGGTTTCTGTTTGCACATGACGGTGTTAGAATTGCATATGCTACAGTAGACACCATTCTGCCCATCTTTCTTAGTTGCTTCTTTGCTGGTTCTGCAGGGTCATCCCCAACATCATCTCAGAATGCCACGCTGCCTTCATCGAGTGCCTGGCCACTTAGTGCCTCCGGCTACAGTAGCTCTTTCAGCAGCATTGCATCCGCACCTAGCATTGCAGGTACGACCAATGGTCTTTCTACTTAGAGTCCCTCTTTATCCACAAAGAGAGGAGGTTCTTGAAAGGCTTCTGCTCAATGTGGTAATGATGGTCCTATAGGTGTGCGCATGTCTTTTGTATACTGTGCTCCTTCAGTCCAGTAACTGTCCTGAGAGTTTGGCAGTGATGAATATGTAATGGGGATGTTTGGCACTGAAAATACTTCAAAATGAGAAACATAATTAGAGTGCCAATGCCTTGGTGCATATTGGACTAAATTCTTGGTGCATATGGACTAAATTCTGTTCATGAAAACAGGAAAGCTTTTGACCATCATTCAAACTAGCTTATACTGTTTCATCAACAGAAGTTGTGGAATAAAGAGCATAGCTTGTCTGATGTTGTGTTTCTCATTTCCTGGAAATAAGTTGATCAATACAACCAAAGTCTTTCACTTCTCCTTGTTCTCCCTTCCCTTCCCAACTTTGCCTACCCATCTCAGCAAATGTCTTGATGAAGCAGAAAGTGGGCAGTGTGGTCACTGTCAACATATATGTGGCTGAAATTCCATTGCATTATTTCTAACACATACCCAGCAATTTTCAAGATGCTGTCAGCAATCTTGCTTTGTTCAGCCACCCTGGGATCCATAGGTGCAAGTGGACTCAATTGGGAAAACAGGGGGCAGCAACAAATTGTGTCCTTATTGCCCATCTCTAAATTCCCAAGTGGCCTTCTTGATCATGCCCTTTTCATATGATGCATCTTATTACAAATGAACACCTGTGCTTGTATTGTAAAGGTAAGATTTGTTTCCAAACAATAAATAGCTTGCCTTATTCAGGGCCAGCCTAAACTTTTGCCCAATTGAAGCAAAAAGCCCTACTGTCTTGGTCCTGTGAGTTCCTCTTTGACCTGGGGAAGGGGGGTGAACAAAACAGGCCATAAAAGGTTTTTTGGCAATGCTTAGCCTGGTTTTCTTCCCAGCGCCATAGATAGGAAAAGGTGATGAGCTTGATCCCTTCATGTTGTAGGAGTTCATGGGAAGGCCCAGCTTCTCCTCCTCCTCCTCTCCTCTCTTTTCTCTTCATTTCAAAAGGAATAGGGTCGTTTCTGTGCACATGTTTGGTCCTACCTGGAGACAGGGGCTAGGTCAGCAAAGTGGAGGGTAACTTGTGCCTTATCTCACATTGCCCATGAACCAGGAAGGAAGCAGCCAGTGCAGCTTTTAATCACAGTGCAGCTTTTAATCATTGTGCCATGCACCCCCACATTGCATATCACACACTAGAAGGGGTGGGGCACAATGCTTTTACTGCGAGAACAGGTGCTTGCTGCTTACTTTTTTCCTGAGCAGTGCTGAGGACTTTGTATATGCAAACTTTCTCAAGTTACCCTTGCCACTGCCACCTAATTTTCTCCCAGAGACGTGGGGCTTCAACCTGCAGATACTGCCAGGCCTACCCTAACTAGAATGAAAATGCCAGCAATGTTGCAGTTATAAATTTATGCATTTTAATTGATTGGCCAAAATAAGACACTTAACATCTAGCAGATAGGTAATTTTTGAGAGCCATGATCAAAATGTTAATATGTTGACATGATACTTTTTATTTTGGTCTCCAGACTGAAGACTGTGAGGGTGTTGGGTTTCCCACTGCTGAAAATGGAAAGGAATGCTGAACTCCTTTTCAGCCAGCAACTGGACAGCCCATGGATCTGATGTTTTTTTACTGTAGCCCAAAACCTCAAAAATATTTTGAACATTTATTTTTCCTGCTTTTGAGTTACATGGTCTTCTTACAGTACTTTGGCCCCCTTGATGTAAACAATATGTAACCTACCACCACAGCTGGATGCAGGCCTAGATAGTCCAAATGATAATTCCAGTAACTGTGAATTTCTTAATGGGCAGTTTAAGCTGAAATCTGTAAGTAATAGGGAAAGCTCAGCTGTTTTTCTTTACTAAGCCCACACTGCCTGAAGTCCTGAGAAACTGGTGTACAGCTGGAATCTTATACTCTATTTCAGATATCCCCTCTCCACGGGCTTGCTTTGGGAACCATATGGGGCAAACAACACAGAATAGACACCAAAAACGGCTACATGAGCACAGGTCTGCATGAATGTAAATGATCTTGGTGGCTTGTGGAAACTTTTTTTACAGCTCACCAATGTCATTTACATTCATGCAGACCTGTGCTCAGGTAGCCATGCTTTTGGTTTCTTATATTTGTGTACCCATTAAGGCTTGTATCCAACCAAGTTCTTCTTTCAGCTCAAGGGCTTTTGTCTGTGCAGTGGAATATCTTCTTCCCATGTGCCGCTGTCCCCAAATCAGTTCTGGGGGTTCCCCCCAACCCTCCTGAGCAGATGACAGGCATGGGGACAAGAGAGGGAGAGGAAATCCCATTGCACAGGCAGAAGTCCTGCATTAAAAGGACAGCCTCAGTGGCTACAATCTTAAATCTTCAGCAGTAAAGCGTGTATTTTTAAAAGATTACCTGTTAACAATTCTTTAAAAGGAAATAAAACAAGTTTACTTACCCTTAATTTTAATTTTTATGCACTGCTCCTTCATGTAGCTTTTCTCCTAGTACTATTTTTACTTATCATTTATCTACTTCAACCATTTATATACTGCTTAACAACGTAAGTCTCTGGTGAATTGTGCACTGACCACGTGAGAACCAGTGACATAATGGTAAAACTGTTTTGAAAATGTTTTCTTTTTTAAAAAAATGAAGATTCATTATTACTTTTAAATCAGACTCATATGGTTTGTAAGACCATTTTTGCAGCATTTAACATTTTTATCCTTTGAGTTCATCTTGTTGAAAAAATTGTTTCTAGAAGGAGAACCAACTTGACTGCAGGTGAATTCACACACATCACAGCTGTACAGTTTGTACACAATATAAGGACTAGGTCCTGGTTCTTTTTTCCTCTTTTTTTTTAAGGAAGGCCACACAAGTTTGAGGTTCACATTGGGACAAGGCTGTGTGTTTAAGTTACACTCTCACAGCACAGGGCATACTCCGTGGTAAATGTGTTTAGTACTGCATGTGTGAACCAGTTTCCTCTCTTTATATACATGTGAAAATATTTTAAGGCTGGGAAGTTATCTTGCATTTTTCTTACTGACCTCTAAGTACATCATTTATATGATTGATGCTTAATAATGTGCATTTCTTTGCTTTCGTTGAACACATACCATTCATTTCTGGTAGTGATGATTAAAAGGAATCAGAAAGGGATGTGTGATTGTAGGAATAAATGTTGTGCCATGAGGGGTCCTTGTGGAAACATTTCAGATTAATATAGGAGATAACAAGATGAGGAACTCCCTTCTCTCTTTTGCTCCCTCAGAAAGAAGGAGAGAAAGGTGCTTCTCTCATTTCTGGGATGGCAGTTGAGAGGTCAACTCTCTCCCCTCTGAGAGCCAAAGTAACAGCTGTCAAGGTACAAGAATGCCAATGATAGTGTAGACTCAGTAATACACTATGACTAAAGGATGCAGAAGGAGCAAGATCTCCCTGTCTCTTGCATCCTTCATTCCCATCATCCTTTCCCCACAGATAACAGGAGAGGAAACAGTTAACATATTGTTAAGCAAGAAACAGCCTGATGTGGTCTCTTACTGCTTTCAGGCTATCTAGAAACAGTTGGAGAGCACCCAGGGTAATTGCTGGGCAATAACTTAAGATGTCAACAATTCTCTTCCTCCTGTGGATAGAGAAGGAGGAGGAGGAAGAGGAGAAGGCATGAAATATGGTGATGGGGCAATGGGGCTTGTCAGCAGATCACTTTTGGAACTAGCAGGGGACTTGATCCACCATAACCTCTAGCATACCCAGAAACAAACATGACAGTTCCTCCAGTTCAAGAAGACGAAAAAAAGACTGATGTTATGTGCTTAGTGATTTAAAACCTGTAAGTAACTTGTTTTATTCAGAAGTCAGATTAATTTCAGATCTTACAGTTTGGACTCTGGAAGCATTCGCTAATGGGACTTTTCTCCAAACCAGGAGGAACAAATGTTTAAAGGCTGTGGATTAATTATGCAGATATATTAGCAAGAGAAGCTCTGCCAGTTATTATCAATGTTTGCTATAGTGCTTATTATGCTGGTGTAAAGAGAACAGAACCCTGGGGATCACTCAGTGTCCCTATACTACATTCTAACAAATACATGAATTGCATTTCTCTGTTGCAGGTAAACTGTCAGACATCAAATCAACGTGGTCCTCTGGCCCAATTTCTCACACACAAGCCTCTCTGTCCCATGAACTGTGGAAGGTGCCCAGAAACACTACTGCTCCTACAAGACCACCTCCAGGCTTAACAAACACCAAGCCATCGTCTACTTGGGGTGCCAGCCAACTGGGTTGGACCAGCTCTTACTCCTCTGGTATTCCTGACTCCTGTCTTTTTTCCTTTCCTTGGGTTTTGTTTGGGGGGGGGGAGGGGGAAACGCAACAACTTTTTTGTTCTTATCCCCTCTCTGTGTTCAGATTTTTTAATGTAGCAAATCTGTAGGCCTCAAAGGGTGAGTGGAATGCACTCATTTGCTGGATTATCCCTGAGATGGAAAATTCGTGCAACCAGTCAGACGTGACAGTTCTCCCCAGAAAGTACTTTTCTCAGTAATTTCCTCTGTGGCAGGTGCATTTCTATGTGCTATTAGCAGTTGTGCTTTCAGTAATTCAGGATAAAAGCCATTGAAGACTTACTGGGGAATAAGCTTGGCTGAGGTTCCTCCAAGCCTGCAAACCCCTCTCTCTTCCGCATGAATGATAAGATCCACACTCAGAGAATGAGTTTGCTGTTGGTGTCCATGATTATATCATTTGGTATATAAGTTCATACCTATTTACCAAATCACTGCAAGTTACTGAAAGTGGTATTGATCCAGCTTTCTCTCTCTGCTCCCCCATATTTTTGTAGAGAAAATAATGCACAATTGTACTGCATATGCTAAGCAGAATTTTGTAAAACGAGGCATGTTACCCCATAAGGCAAAAACAGGCTACAAGAGAGTCTTGTTGAAACCTCAGACTGTAATGTAAGCAAGGGCTATACAGTTAAAGGCAAGAAGGACTTAGGTTGTTTGTGCTGCAAATGGGACATAACTATCTTAAGCTTCTGGAATTCATGGAAAAGCAGAAATGAGATCAACATTTTGAAGAATGATTGCACCTATTTTGCCACTGTTTTCCTACTGGTTGTTCTGCACAGTTCTAATGGGAGCCATGTTGATCTCCATGATAACTGATGCTATGATAACAGGGACGCGGGTGGCGCTGTGGGTAAAAGCCTCAGCGCCTAGGGCTTGCCGATCGAAAGGTAGGCGGTTCGAATCCCCGCGGCGGGGTGCGCTCCCGTTGCTCGGTCCCAGCGCCTGCCAACCTAGCAGTTCGAAAGCACCCCCGGGTGCAAGTAGATAAATAGGGACCGCTTACTAGCGGGAAGGTAAACGGCGTTTCCGTGTGCGGCTCTGGCTCGCCAGATGCAGCTTTGTCACGCTGGCCACGTGACCCGGAAGTGTCTGCGGACAGCGCTGGCCCCCGGCCTCTTGAGTGAGATGGGCGCACAACCCTAGAGTCTGTCAAGACTGGCCCGTACGGGCAGGGGTACCTTTACCTTTACCTCAGCACAAGTGGCACAGCTTGCTATAGCACAAATCAGCTATCTTCGGAGATTTCAAAGATTCAGGCAAGCCATGATTGGGATGAGCAATCAGCTAGGAAGGAAGTGGAGTGGAAAGGGGACAGAAGTCCTGGATACTTGCTGAGTGGAGAGGGATCTTACACTCAAGTCCTGCTTGCCAGTTTCCACTGTGAGAACAGGATGCTGGACTAGATGGGCCCTTGGCCTGATCCAGCAGTCTTTTCTTATGATGGCTTTACTAGATTTGCTTTTTTAAAAAAACTGCTAATGAAAATTCTTCAGCTGATACCATCACACCCAAATGTTCCTGCTAAGTGTGGGCCCTTAGTGCAGCACCAGGCAGAATCCTCTGGAAAGCAATGCCAATTATTTGCAAAACTGTGCAAGTTAATTCTGAATGAAGGGAAGATGTGTAACTAAGGCATACATAGCTTCCCATAAGATGCAAAATCCATAAAAAGATTTCTCCCTGTCCTTACTTTATGATCCATTTATTTGGCTACTTCTGTTTCACACACCATACACTGTTTCAGATGGATTTCTTCACGTGTCACAATATTTATGGTTTTACCAGTAAGTGTGGAAATGAAATGCTCCCATCAACCCTTTGAAAAACACACATTATTAGCTTTTTATGAGCTCCACCTGGTGGCCAAATAACAAGGATTCAAATTTCAGCTTCAGTGCAGTAACCCACCTGACTTTGGAAGTCATGTGCCTTTTTAAAATGCTGCCATTTAAATGTCGAAGCAGTGCAGGTTCAGCAATTAACACTGCCTTAGTATAGAGGAAATAATGAACTGGAAATCTAGAGTTGAATTGCTTGCTTTAGTGTACATATAATGGGTGCTAGATGTCTGGATCACAGCTGGAAGATACGTTCTTAATCTGTTTCATTCATCCCGTGCCTTACATGGCATTCTGCTCTATGCAAGTACCCTGTCACATCACCTATTCAAATATGATAAGCTGGACTCCTGGGGCCTTAACTCGGCATATCTGAAAATCAGGAGGTGTGGAAGCAGCAATATCCTTTTGAAATTGCCTTCTGAGCATTTGAAACTATTGTCTTTAAACACAATCTTTAAAATCATGATCTGGCCATTTTGTAAAACAAAACTTGACAGATGACAGTGTCAAAACTTGACAGATGACAGTGTCAAACAGAAAAGGCCACAGGTTGCTTATCATGCCATTAAGCTCACCTCATAGCTACTGAAACATAGCATCACTGACTTTAGAGAGACATCAGTTCTGCAGTTTCCAGGGGGGTAACCTGCAGCAAAAAAACAGCAAAGATTCTTGTGGCATCTCAAAGGCTATTATAGCATTAGCTTTTATGGACTAGAGTCCACGTTATCTGATGCATGATGGTGGTATAGGTATTTACAGTACTGTCTCAGGGCCACTACCAAGAAAAAAAGAGGTTAGTGGGCATTTGATAAGTCACCTCCTTATTAGGAATCCGTATAGCAGTTGTATTCCTCATGTTTGTGTCTTGCATGTTGTATAGCCTTCATTCAGCAAGTTGGGTTGGGCTCTCCATAATCTTTCCTTTCTTTGTGGTATAGGCTCAGCATGGAGTACTGACAGCTCAGGAAGAACAAGTAGCTGGCTGGTCCTCCGTAACCTCACACCCCAGGTAAGCAAAGTTCCCTGATTAATTCAGAAAATAGCTATGGGCTATTTGAGATATCAGGGAGATAAAATTTGGCATCCTGCTTCTAAATCCTCGTACTGTATAATTGTCAGTGTTTATGTCACTGCATTAGCACAGCCATTGGTGCATCCTGTCCTAAGCACTCAGGGTGCTGTACGTTTTAGGATTAGCTCATTTAACCCTTTGGAAACACACCTAGAACCAAATGCAAATTCTCATTCTTGAGAGCCCAGTGTTTTTATATAGGGCTGCAAAGTTTGCTAAATTTAAAATAGAATCTCCTTACCCAGAAGTGAGCAACCTTCCAAGTTTGTGGGATCTGAGCCCAGATACTTGTTTTCAATAGTAGCACACAGTGCGTTCTCACCAAAATCCAATCCTAGTTTCTTCCCAAATTTTCTTCATTTCAGCAGCCCAATCTGAAAGGAAAGGTGGTTGCTATGGTTCAACCAAAGGGAGTCAGAATTCCTTAGTAATTACTGCAGATCACTCAGATCCTTTTGCCCACCCTATCCTAACCTATTCATTTATTGGTTGAATCCTTGCAAAGTATATCGCATGAAGTAGGTATGAGCAATGAAACAAGCTGCCTTGAAAATACAGAGTTCTTCCTCCTGCTTTTGCAGGTTTCATTGTCAAATGTTAAACAGGGCCATCAGGTAATGCAGAAATGCGATCTTAAAAATAGTGGGGACATCAAATGATTTGATACCCAGAAATATACAAGGTTGTCTTTCAGTAGCATGGCTATTGGTATACGTTACAGAAAGTGTACTATTTCCCCTGATGGCTTTAGGTGGTCTATGGAAGCAGTAAGAGCAGCTATCTGACCTCCTAGTGGTGCAGCTATAAAACATTTGCAAACTTAAACAAGGTCTGGTATGGCTTCAGATTGGATGGGGAACTGTGTGTTGAGATTCCTGTATTGCAGGGGATGATCTTTGGGATCCCTTCCAACTCTACAACTCTGTGACTCTCTATGAGAAACTCACACATCCACTTTTCCATGTAATTACTGAAGAAAGTCACCACTCGGTCCCATATGGAAATGCATGGCCACCAGAAATGGGGTTCAACTCAGCCACCTGCCCATGCAGGAGATACACAACTTTCCTCTTCAGTTGCAGGAGAAACTGTAGTCTTAGTATAGTGAGTCTGCCCTAACTGGAAAAAAATCTTGGCCATCTTTAGATGTGGATGGGCCGTGTCACCCTCCCAACACCAGCATCACTGCTCCTTACCTGGACAGTGCAGAGTAGGACAGAGCTGTGCAGGTGCATCAGTGGAGCCATTCCAATGTTCCCACTGGTGTGCCTGTGCAGCCCAGACCTGGCCACTGCCTCCCCCCCCCAATCCTGGTAAGTGGCAGCAGTGCTGGTGTTAGAAGGGCGGCACCACATTGACCACTCCGGGAAATAATTCACTCTGGGAAATAATCTTAAACAAGTTCCCTGACTCAGAAGATGCATAGCATTAGCAACCAGATCAAATGCTTTACGTTAAGACAAGTCTGATTAAAGTCTTATTTCTCTTTGGGTTAATGGGGTAATTAAGCAATCCTACCAATTAAAGCTTTCAGACTTAATGAACATGACCTCAAAATACTTGGCACAGAGGCTTTACAGAAACAGCTTGAGTGTAGCTATGCTGATATCGGGGAGCAGGCAGAAAGAGAAATAAGTGGGTGTGAGTTCTCTTGTTGTACTGGATCTCCAGAGAGAATGTAAGTGAGTGCAGTTAAGTTTTGGAGAAAGGCTAGATAAAACCAATGTGATGCAGTTGCTCATGACGCCTCTAAATCAATCTCATTTGTGCTCCTTTTCCAATTAGATTGATGGCTCTACACTGCGTACTCTATGCTTGCAGCACGGTCCTCTTATTACATTCCATCTGAACCTGACTCAAGGGAATGCTGTGGTTCGATACAGTTCCAAGGAAGAAGCAGCGAAGGCCCAGAAATCTCTGCATATGTATGCAATCTATTCAGTATTTGCTGTGGTTCATATGTGACCTCTGTGTCTTAGTTTGGTGTTTCTGTAAGAGCAGAAGCAGAAGAACTGAATAATGAAAATTAAGCTGTGAGATTTACATGAGCAGGGCATTAAGTGAAAAGTCATGATACAGGATATGCCTATAAAAACTGGCAAATTCCAAAAGAGGTAGATTTGCTCTTACTTAGGACTCCCAATTCCATTCACCAGCAGTCCCGAAGCTTCTGCAGCTTTTATCCTGCACTGAATTAAAAACCAATAAAAATAAGTTTAACATTTTAATGTTTGCAGTAACCCACACTGCATTCTTAAATGTGGGTTGGTGAGGAGGAAACCTAGAGACATGGTAGATCAGTCTCAGCTTTGGATATGGAGTACTTTTGCAGCATTTCATTATGTAAGGCCAGAAGTAGTGATTAGAATTAATTAAGAAGAAGAATGGTAGTCTCCACCCCTTGGCTTACTGTGTGGTGTGTTCATTGCTAGACATGCAGGAGGGTGTGAAGATAGGGACTGGAGAAATGATTTCTGAGGCCACAGAGGCATGCAATTGAAAGCAGTACTCTTGCCCAGTACATTTCCTAGGGGAAGAAGGCACATGAGGAGGGTCTCTTCCAGGTGAAATATTTGTTTCCCAAACACAGCCTAATGCCTTTCCCTCCCTCTCAGCTTTTGCATGGTACCTCTTGTCAACCACACTACCAAAGCAGCTCAGGAGGAGAAAAGTGGATGGACACACACTTGCATAAATGTGGAATACAATTACCGTATTTTTCGCACCATAGGACGCACTTTTTCCCTCCTAAAAAGCAAGGGAAAATGTGTGTGCGTCCTATGGAGCGAATGCAGGCTTTCGCTGAAGCCTGGAGAGTGAGAGGGGTCGGTGCGCACCGACCCCTCTCGCTCTCCAGGCTTCAGGAAGCTATCCGCTAGCCGCGGCTAGCGGAGCGCTGCATTAATCCCGAAGCTTGGGGCGCACGGAGCTCAGCGCGCCCCAAGCTTCTGGGTGCCGGCAAGGTCTCGCTAGCCCTGGGAGAGCCCCGCGACGTTGCGTGGCTCTCCCAGGGCTAGCGAAGCGCCGCGCTAATCCCGAAGCTTGGGGCGCGCGGAGCTCAGCGCGCCCCAAGCTTCTGGGTGCCGGCAAGGTCTCGCTAGCCCTGGGAGAGCCCCGCGACGTTGCGTGGCTCTCCCAGGGCTAGCGAAGCGCCGCGCTAATCCCGAAGCTTGGGGCTTCGGGATTAGCGCTCCGCTAGCCGTGTCTAGGCTGCGGATAGCAGCCTGCCTCCCGGAGCGCCGGGCGCCCTGAAAGCAGAGCTCCAGGCGCTTCGGGAACACATCCGCAGCGTGGGGAGCCTTGCAGGAATTCCCCACAGGGCTCCCCACGCTGCGGATAGCAGCCTGCTGCCTGGCAGGTGGGGCGCCCTGAAGCAGAGCGCCCCTCGCGCCAGGCAGACATCCGCAGAGTGGGGAGGCTTGCAGGAGTTCCCCACAAGGCTCCCCACGCTGCGGATAGCAGCCTGCTGCCTGGCGGGTGGGGCGCCCTGAAGCAGAGCGCCCCTCGCGCCAGGCATACATCCGCAGAGTGGGGAGCCTTGCAGGAGTTCCCCACAGGGCTCCCCACGCTGCGGATAGCAGCCTGCTGCCTGGCGGGTGGGGCGCCCTGAAGCAGAGCTCCCCGCCCGCCGGACAGACATCGGCCAGCCCCACAAGCTTGGGGGACAGCAGGGAGGCGCAGCGCCACTATCCCGCTGTTCCTCGACCTGGTTCGGTTTCCCTGACCTGCTTTTGGGGGGGAAATAAAGGGGAAAATTTTTTCCTTTATTTTCCCCCAAAAAAACTAGGTGCGTCCTATGGTCCGGTGCGTCCAATCGTGCGAAAAATACGGTATGAGGATCTAGAATAAACCCATGGTTTTGGTATTTGAACAAGCAACCACAAGCCTTAACCAAAGGCCATGGATTGAAAAATAATAGCCTCTTCTGTCTTTGAGGAGACAGCCAACGTAGAATTGACTGTTATTTTTAATATACCCCCTGCTATCCAGCATCACCTTCCAGATGTTTTGGACCACAGTACCTGTCAGCCCCAGCCTGCATGGCTGCTCTGCCTAGGGCTTCTACAAGTTGTCGTCCAAAGCATCTGGAATTCTGGTCCAAAGAAATGGGTTGTGGAAAGGTTGTCTATCATCTGAAATATATATTCTGAACTCTACAGAAGTCTATATATTCAAAACAAAATAAAGTACGCAAAATAAATGTGTGTGCGCTTTATATGCTACGTGCATCCATAGATTTTCTTGGTGCAGTGAGCTTCAAGCCCTGCTTTTTCATACGTACATCTAGCATTCCGTCCACTGAGTGATGATTGCAGTATATAGATAATCATACATTAAAACAGAAATAATCATACATTAAAACAGAAATAATAAGGATTGATTTGTTAGATTTTCATAGCATTGGGTTTCATAACAGAATATGAAAGTAGCCTGAGAGAAATCCCCCTCTCTGAGCCCAGGTAAGAGTGTGGTTTACCTTTGAGCATCTCTGTGTCTTTCTCTGTTTTCAGGTGCGTTTTGGGGAACACTACCATCTTGGCCGAGTTCGCCGGAGAAGAGGAAGTGAACCGTTTCTTAGCACAAGGCCAGCCACTGCCCCCCACCTCCAGTTGGCAGTCCAACACTGGAACCACTCAGACACGTTTGGGCTCCACAAGCAGCTCACACGGCATGGTGCGCAACGATGCAGGCCACTGGAATACCCCCTGCCTAGGTGGCAAAGGGAGCAGTGACCTGCTCTGGGGCGGGGTCCCTCAGTACTCAAGCAGCCTTTGGGGTCCACCCAGTTCCGATGACGGCAGGGTTATTGGAAGCCCAACGCCTTTGAATACTCTGCTCCCAGGTGACCTTCTCAGCGGGGAGTCCATCTAGGACACCAGAGAAACAAAATGGAAGTAACAATCATCAGCACTAAAGGAAAATAATGGTAACCCTTTCCAGTCCAGGGCATCGCGAAGAATCCAGCTTTAATAGATCAGACTGGCAGCCCTTTTTTTTAGTACCTCTGTCCAATATCGACTATGAAACTCTGCCGAAGTCCTTGTGAACTGTTAGTGCAACAGTATGGGCTCCCTTTGGTCAGTGTCACGTGCTAATGATAGGTTTTATGTGGGTTTTTTTCCAATGGCTTTTTAATTTTGTTTTTATGTTTGTATGGTGTTTTTAAAGACGTATAAAAGCTGCTTAGACTAGTTCTATCATGAAGGGCACTTTTCAGAATTTGGGCTGGAAAGGGTTATTTTATCAACTGTGGGAGTCGGGGAGGGATGAAGGGGGGGAGGGTTGTGAGAAAGCCTATTTAAAATGAGCCTGTGATAATTATGCACATTACCAGAGGCGGATCCAGTAATCAGTAGGGGATGGCATCCGACCAGCCCGTCAGCAGTCAGCAGCATAGGGGGGAACAAATCCTATGCCCCTCAGCTGTACGACTTGGATTGAGAGGTGGGGTGGAATATCCATGTCCACTACTCCCACGGGTCTTGCCTATGCACATTACACTTGTTTCATTACTTTTTTGTGTCATTGTTTTGTTTTTTAAACTCCCCCCAAAAAATAGTAAAAAAGAAGAAGAAGGTTTTTTAAAAAAACATATCAAACATGCAACTATACTTGAATCCAGCAGGCCAATAACAAAATGTGAACACTTTCTATTATTACACTTCCAGGTCGGCACCAGAAAACAAAAGAACAGGCTCTAGGAATATTTTTGTTAAGTTCTTTCTTATACGTATGCATTGGGGAAAAAGATGGATAGATGTGTGAGCGTATGGACGTGTGTGCGCGCCAGTTGTACAACTGAACAAATTGTGTGACTTTTTTCCTTTCTTTCCCCTTCCCCACTTCTCAGTATATGCTTTTGATTTGCTATTTGGTCAAACGTTTAATTGTTATTAGCTTCTAACTTTGCACTGAGTGTCCACAGCCCTTCTTGTAGCTAATCCTACTTGTTTTTAAAAAAGAAAATTGAAAAAAAAAAACTGATAGGAGGGGCTGGCGACAATTCACGTGTAAATGTTTACTCAAGGACTCTTACTGCATTTTAAAAAACTTACAGTGTGTATCTCTGGAGAATAATATGTATATCTACCTTTAGCAGCTTTTTATTGTGGACTAATGCAAGGAAATAAATACCGGAGTATTGCACCATTTTTTCCCCCATTCGGAATATAAAGTTTTAAAAAAGGAAAAAAAAAAACTTGTTGAACTGTGGCCATAAATACTTGTAAAGAGTGGATGGTTCCCTGCAAGCCGGAACGGAAACAAGCACTTGGACATAGGTTTTGACTGCTTTTGGAGGAGCCTACGGTTTCGGCTCCCACCTGTTTACAGACCTTTTTTTTTCCTCCTTCAAACTTTAAAATAAAAAAGGAATTGAAAAAAAAGAAAAAAAATAGACTTCCATCATAAAGAAACCTATTTTCAGAATGAAGATATGCTACTTCAGAGCTCTGGGATTGAACAGTGTTTGTTGTTGTTATTGTTGTTGTTGTTGTTTATCCTTTTCTTTGGCCATTGCTGTGTACTCCTTTGTTGTTTTTTCCTCCTCTTCGTCAAGAGTGGCGAAAAATATTGTGATCACTATCTTGCACATGGTGGAAGATGTCTCAGGAAAGCCGGGTTTCCCGAGGAGCAACTCCACACCATTTCATGTATTTTTTAAACCCAACTCCTAGCACTGAAGATATTATTAAAAAACAAAATGAAAAAAATAAAAATAAAAAGACAGTAAGAGAAGAAGAAAAATACCTAATCTAATGTGTAGCAGTTACATATTTACCAAATAATGGACTCAAAAGAAATAGATGTTTGAAGAGTGCTTTATATATTAAAAATTGCTTTATGTTTAAAAATGATCAATGTTTTTGATTGTTTTGAAAGGAAGAAAGACAATGGAATAACATACCCTTTGAGTATGTTTTTAAAAATTATATGAACATTGTGCTCCCTGCCTGCTTGGATCAGGAAACTTGTGCATTACATTTTTTGTTTTGTTAAAGATTAGCTTTTTAATGGTTTTGTCCAATTAAAAAGGGTCCTGCAAGATTGCAAATCAACAAAAGCTGGTTTTCTAGAGGATCATGAACTATGCACAGATTGGGTTCCAGACTTGTGTTTTCTCAAGTTTTCGTAGTGTATTTAGCTGAATACCCTTTTCTCAGAGTGCTTGCATCTCATTGTCATTACACGCACTCTACATATGTATTGTGTATATATATCTCTCTCCCTTAATACACACAGACACACAGACACACACACATTATATTTATATATATATAATACATATGTGCCTATGTGCGGATTGAAATAGTCAATACAATTTTCCATGCTGAAGCTTAGTAATGAGTTGTAGAAAAAGAACTCCTGATCATTTAAAATTGGGGATGGACATAAGAAAAAAAGCAAATACATCCAGTTGAACTTTTTTTTTTTTTGCCTTCTTTCATTTTGAATTCAAGATGTCTGTAACTCTGAGATGAAAAGATAAAAAAAAAAGTTTGTGGCTTTTAATGTTATTTCTCCTCATAGAATGTGATTGTTAAAAACATGCACCAGAAGTTGCTTTCAAGAGTACGAAGATTCTTTGAAACTTAATAAACTGCAGTTTTTCTTGGCTGTTAAGATGACTGTGTATTTTTCTTGTGTACAAAGATGACTGTTAATTCTAGCTTTGATCACAGGGGTTTTTGTTGTTGTTGTTGAGGGCATTTTTAAGGCTTTCCACATTCATGTGCAACCTGCAAATATCTGAAGTGATTAAAATTTCACCCTCCATATATGTATACTTTAATTTACATGCTATATTCCAGTTACAGATTGTGGACTTGTGGCTTGCAATTGCCTACTCTTGCCATTTGTATCTGATAGCTGTCCTCTTAATCTTTCTGACTTAATATAGGAATGCATTTTATATGAAACAGTTATTGTATTTTTGTTAAAATGCTACATGCCTGTTTTTGTCTTTTACAATACCGTGGAACAAATTCTAGAACTCTCCTGCAGTTGTGATGAAATAAGAGGCAGAATTCAGAGTACAGTGATACCTCGGTTTAAGAACAGTCCTGTTTACGAACGATTCCGTTTACGAACTCTGCAAAACCGGAAGTAGTGTCCCGGTTTGCAAACTTTACCTCAGTGTACAAACGGAATCCGGATGGTGGAAGGGCACTGGCGGCAGGAGGCCTCATTAGGGAGAACGCCTCATTAGGGAAAGCGCCATTAGGGAAAGTTTAAGAATGGTTTCGGTTTAAGAACTGACTTCCGGAATGGATTAAGTTTGTAAACCGAGGTACCACTGTATACCCTCTGCAAACAAACCCAATTTTGTCGTGCTTCTGAGCCACCCTTCCGTTTGCCTCAGTATTATTGGACCTCTTGAGAACAAAGACATCCACATGTAGAATTGAAAAGTAGTGAGCAGAGAGACTATAATCACAGTCACAAGACAGTGTTTCTGAGCATTCATTTATGGTAAACTAATACCACCTTTATTTTTCTTCTCTTAATATTACAATTCTTTTAAGAGCCTTATTCCCCTAATCCCAATTTTAATCTTTATCAAATTTGCCTGTCTCTAATGGTTTCAAATAGTAACTTTCTGAAAGAGGGAATAGCCTTGATTGTGATGCACTGAGACCACAATCCTTTACATAGTTAACGGGGAATAAGTTCCACTGAATTTAGTGGGGATTACTTTTGAGTAGAAGGGACGCGGGTGGTGCTGTGGGTTAAACCACAGAGCCTAGGACCTGCCGATCAGAAGGTTGGTGGTTTGAATCCCCGCGACGGGGTGAGCTCCCGTTGCTTGGTCCCTGCTCCTGCCAACCCAGCAGTTCGAAAGCACGTCAAAGTGCAAGTAGATAAATAGGTACTGCTCTGGCAGGAAGGTAAATGCTGCTCTGGTTCGCCAGAAGCAGCATAGTCATGCTGGCCACATGACCCGGAAGTTGTACGCCGGCTCCCTCGGCCAATAAAGCAAGATGAGCGTCGCAACCCCAGAGTCAGGGGTTCCTTTACCTTTACCTTACTTTTGAGTAGACATGTACAAGCTTGCATTTTAAGGCAGTTTACACTGCCTAGGCATAGATCTATTTGGACAAGAGTGGGCTTTCTAATAACTGGGGGCCCAAATAATTATTAAGCAAGACTTTTCTTACAGCCTCTGCAAGTCAGCGAACAATGCATCACAGAGCAAGTAAGCGATAGTGTTTTGCACAAATGAAACTTATTTTGCAGCCACCCTTTAGTTCCTTGAAGGAAAGGTAGGATATAAGTGAATCAATAAATGTAAATAATATCTGACAATGGGGAAAAAATGGCATTGTTTTCAGAAAATCAGTACATTTATAGGCAGATGTTCCCACTCACCCTCATAGACCAGAGAAAAATGCAGATCTCCAGTGTTTCAAATGGAGTTTCAGGGCTTCTGCTGATGGGGTTTTTTAGGTGAATCCTGCCAAAAGTATATGCATATTTAAATAAGTATATGTAATTTATGGGAATCTGTGTTTGCATGTAAATGCTGCTAAGATCGGAGCTTCAGAACCCTTTAAATGTGACTGATCTACACAGCATCCTGTACAGGTATTTCACACATTCTGAGCATCTCATTTAAGTGGGACCTGAAGGTGCTTTCCAGTGACTGCTAAAGGGCTAGAGTTGGTGAGCTTTCCCCCCCAACATGGAGAAGTGGTCTGTGGTCTCTGATTATCTGTGGAGTCTAGTGCAGCACAGAGAAACAGGAAGCAGTGCAGTCTTGGGTTTCACCACATGAGTGGAAACTACAGAGCACTAAAGTATTTTTTTAAGTAGCTAATGTGTGGTTACTAGGTTTCATGAAGTGGGCTAATAGTAAGATAAGTTGTTTACTGAGAAGAAAAACAACATGCCCCTTCAGAAT